TAGCCATAAACTAATCGCGACCGCGAGAACATGTAACTCGATAAACTCGTCGGTGTATACGCTGCACAGGCAGACAATCATTAGACGGGGCGCTCCTTTCTTTTCGTTTACCTTTTCGCGCAACTTCCTGCATTGCATACGGCGGGTGGAAGGGAGCCATCGATGCAAAAAGCGCATTTCATGGGGAAAACACCGACCACGTAACAGACCGCGTATCGACGATTTCGTGGAACGAAATCCAACGCGAAAAGACCTCTCCTACTTCTCAGATTCGTTCGTGAACTTCCGTTCTGATTTATCAGAATTAAACGTGTACGTTGTAAATGAACAGCGTTATAGATTTGTTTGATACAGTCACTTTCACTTTGACGATCGTTGTGATACGAAACATTGTGCAAATATGCTACGATAATAATTTCTTTGGTGCGGCAAAATTTCCGTATTCGTTGTTCGTGAATGAAATTTGTTCGAAGTCGGAGCGTTTAGGAAGTATAGTTTGAAATTCTAGACTCCTCGAACTACGTCGAAAGATGGACAGATATCCCGTTACCTTTTTACGTAACTTTTGCCCAAGGACTCCGTAAAACGGAGAGCATCGCGAACGATCCACCGCGGCGAGCGATTAAATTCCAATTATTGAACGCCACGTTCGTGGAAGTAAGGTCGTGGATACATTATCGTCGAATTGCTCGTAAACGACACGGTAACGTATCGACGAGCTTTACGACTTTCACGATAACATCTCGACGCGGCTAATGTCCATTCGAGTTTCACGTTGGAATCGCGAACGTCGCGCGGGAAAACGCGGACGAGCGTAAACGGAAGTGCAAACCGATTTCCCTGGGAAGAAAACGCTCTCGAACGAGCGATCAACACTAAAACTAAAACTAAAACTTTTGAAGGCCTTACCGAAACTCTTCCCGTTCACATTGTCGGGATCTAAGCTGCCTGGTCAAATAAAAATGCTCAACGCCTAAATTAAAATTAATTTTACAACGTTTATCAGTTTCTCGAGAAATCCAATTTGAATTGTCGCTCTTCGGGGAATGAAAAATGTCGAGGAAACACTAATCGCGCAGTGATAGTCCGAGGGTTAGCCGAAACATTAATCTCAGAAAAGCCTATTATCGGAATAGACAAGATAAAAAATGGAATTTCAGAGAAAAAAACAATTATTTAATTTTGTCATTGAATAGAGTTTGCCTGACTCTGGCCCACCGTGTGATTCCCATTCTGCTTTAAAAACACTGCGTACAGGTACGCGTCGAGAAAGTACGATTTTCTCACGAAGGATGAAACGCAGTTCTCGGTAGTGCCGAAAAGAACGACCCGCCCCGTACGCGTTCTCACGATTTTTAGCGGCAGGTAGGTCCGACCGCGAAGGATTCGCAGGTGAAACAGAAAATGGACGGCTCCCGAGCGGTCCTGCTAAGCTCAGGTAAGCCCGTCTGAAAAGAAGGACGCGTGCACGGAGGGACGCGGGAGGTGCTTCTCGAGTTTTTTCCGTCTTCTCTGTGAACCGTTCTTCCGTTCGCAAATAAACAGCGGTGGAAGGGAAAAAAAAAAAGGAACGAAACGAAGAGGAAGACAGAAATACTTGGAAACGCGGAGAACAATAGAGCGCGCGGTACGAACGGAAGCCCTCCTTCAATCGGCTTTTATAAACGAACGCTGAAAGCGAAACGAGACGATGAATATTCTCGCGGGACAAGGTGACTGAATGAACGCCCCCAGGCCCCTCTCACGCGGCCCCCGGGGGAATATATGTGCCTGTTATCGGATGGAACCATAGATTATCGCCGGTATATCTCGACGTGACATCGATCAGACAAAATCGTAATCGAAGAAGGCAAACAGACTGAGAAAAGTGTAACGCCCAGATAGATTAACCCGTTTAGTAACAAATTTTGGGGAATTTTTTTTTCTCGAGAGGTTAGAAAATTAATAATCGTAAGCTCGGGGTTAATGGAATTCCTTCGAATGTTGTTTCTCGCGTTTTCTCAGAGCTTCAAAAATACGCCGTTGAAACAGCAAGTCGAGATTCGAGGAATCGACTAACGTTCCCTAAGCTTCTAAACAAGATATCTGAACTAATCAATTTCATCTGAACGTATCTTAATACGCTGCAAACTTTGTTCCTGCGGACGGAAAAAGATTCGAAGGTCGGGAATCGCACGATGCTCGAACGAATTTTAATATCGGTAAAAACACGGTTTCCCGAATGGCCTCTAAGTAGGACGGTGGTGTTCTTAATGGGCTAAATATAAATTTAGCAACGGGAATAGAAACTTAAATGTAATAAAAAGAGACCGATGGCTACGATACATTCTTGTTTTCAGCTATGAATAAAATAAAGATCTACCACTGGTTTTTTACGATACGGTCTTGCGTAAGATGGTTCCGGGGAGTCGAAATTTATTTTTTTTTAATACACGCAAGTGCACGAGTTAAGCAAGTTGGGGTGTATGGTTGTTACCATGAATCGTGTATTTCAATGAAATTTGTAAATACCCGTCTCTGATGGAAAGTAATCAACCCCGAAGAGAGGTTCCGACCGGGTCAAAAGACAGGTGGGTGGAAGGAGGTGAACGAGGCGACAAAGCACACGGGGAGCGTTTCCCACGACAGGTGACACGTGGGAATCCTAGTCACGGCGCAGGTGGATCAGGTTAGACGGGCAGAGAGATGGAAGAGGAACGGGGAAGGGAGAGACGGTGTCGGGTAGGCGTCTGAGGATCGACAAGGAGGGACTACGGTCGAGAAAGACGAGAAGAAGGAACGGCGGGGGACAAACGGATACTCTGGCGAGCGACTGACTGATGATAGGAGGAGGGGGGGTGAGGAGAGTGGGAGGTACGGCCGAGAAATGGAAAAGGAACGGAGAAACGACGACGAGTGAGCCGTGGCGGGCGATAAAGACGGTGACGGCCTTGAGGTATGTGGGACCCCAACACACGCACACTGAGAGGACACAGACGACGAAAACGTTCGGCGTTGTAAGAGCATCGTGGATTCCCCCGTTTGAACGGTTGAATCCGAATCGCTTTTAAAGTCATTAGATGGAAGCGAGAAGAAAGGAGTTAACCATGAACCGAATGTAGGAAACCGCGCACCTGTTACGAAGCGACTCTCGAAACGTCACTTGGTCGCTGAAACCCTTCCTATCTGCGTTTAGATAATTCGATGAACCTATAGGTTTGACCCTCCCTATAATCCACATAATATACTTACGAACAAAATACATTTTAACGTACATTTAACGTAATTTAAAGTACATTTTAACGTACATTTAACGTAATTTAAAGTACATTTTAATCGGCGCAAATAGAACCGCAGAATTTCTAGAAACGGTACGAAGGATTAATATTTTTATCTGTACGGTGAAAAGTTATGCAATCCACATGTGGGTGACGTGGCAGTCAATGCCTTGAGATTGTGTGCATCGACATTGCTATTTGGTTTTAATTAACTCTATTTCTGTGAGGCTGTCATCGAGTGAGATCACTGCTGGCTCGTATTAAATTTTTTGATAAAGTTATAGAAAGACTTTGTCGATCGTCGATAGAGGGAAATTGTCATAAGCTAAGGTTATCGGTGTACTGTAATAATAGATGACGAATAAGACGTGTTTCGTTCCATAATTTGATCTGTGATTTCTATTCTAAGAGTATCGAAGTTGGTTCACTTTTCTTATCGAAATAAGAATTTCAGTAATCTCTGGGTACAAATGCCTGTTGACTATTGTCACAACTGGCAGATACAGCCTAAGAGTTACGATTCTATAGGAAATTCCAAGTAATCTATAAAATAGAGCTCTAGATTTGAACCCTAAAACCTGAATTCGATATTTGGAACTTATGTCAACAACACTGGCCAGAACATTTTTCAATTTCGTTATGTTACTCTGGCAATAATATTATGACAATACGTCGAAATTGAAAAATTTTGAAAAAGTGAAGTTGAGCTCCAATTATCAGCGATGATAATGATCTGTTATAGCAGGCATGTCAAACACGCGGTCTGGGGGACGCATGGGGTCCGACCCATTAAATTTTGCGGCCTGCTTGACCTTTCAATTATTTTTTATTCCATCCATGGTTGGGAATATATATTTACGTGAACAGCCTTTATAAAAAATGAAAAACAACGAAACAACTAAAATATAACACGCCTTGTTGTAGATTCAAGATATTGAATTTGAACCATTTAATGTTTGCAAAACGGTAGCAAGTATCTTTGAGAGAATGAAACAATGTTATTTCAGAAACTAATTGCTGGTTTTAATGTACCTGCGCCCCGCGACATGGCAGCAAAGTATAAATCGACCCTCGAGCCAAAATGGGTATGATATGCCTGATGTATAGGATTGTAAAGAAAACAATAATTCTTACAGAAATAAGCCAAAGAATACATTTATTTAACAAAAGGCGTAGGTACATTAGTAGCAAACATATTTTTGTCTGAAATAACATTATTTCGTTTCCTTAAAAATACTTGTTTCATCATTTCGTATTCCTTAAAGATACTTAGTTTCAAACTTGAATAAAGGTGTTAAACAGTTAATTAATCTTATCTTCCGGTCGTTTTATTGTCTCTCGTTATTGAACGAAGCTGTTCGCGTAAACATATACTCCTAACCATAGATACATAGCGTGCGAGTGACAAAATCTTCGGAAAACAAACGGAAATAAAAACTAATAGAGAAGGTTAAACGGGGCCCGTGCGACTCCACGGGGCCGCGCGTGTTCGACAATGGCTGATATACATAATTTGCTTGCGACATAGGACGATGTAACAATTGGTGTCCGTACGACTGCAAAATAGGCTTTAAAATATTCTCGAGTGTCGTTAAAATAATTATAGATCAGCGGGCCGCGACATGGTAGCAAAAGCGTGTATTGGCCCTCGTGCCAAAATCAGTTTGACACGGGTGTCGTATAGGGTCGAAACGTAAGGGATCGGAGGAAAGCAAAAGCTACCGGTCAAGAGAAGAAACTCACTTGAGGAAGTAGATCTGTCCCTCGGGGGTGCGCGCCTGTTCCCATCCATGCGGCAGGGGACCCAGGTCGTCGACCGTACTGATGACGTCGTAGCTGCGTTGCTTCTGGTGATGGTGGTGACGCGCGTGCGGCTGGGGCGCGTGCTGAGGCGCCTGCTGAGCCGACGCGTACGTCTGTTGAAGCGAGGCCGGGCTGCTGTGGGCGCGAGGATGAGCGACGGTGAGGCCAGCCGCGGCCGCGGCCGCGACTGCAGCCGCAGCCGCACCTGCGGCGTTTGTTCCGCTACCACCGCTGTTACCACTTCCACCGGTGGCCGATGTGGCCCCGGCGGCCTGTGTACCGGTCGCGTTTCCACCGGGTGCAGCGGCACCGGCGGCGACTGCCGCTGTCCCGAACGCCGAATCCGCCGAATTCTCCCGGGAATGCGAGATCGAGGGACTCTTGCTACCCGTCGACGGTGGATTGAAGAAGGAATCTGGTAGATTGCGCATGCGCAGTGGCACTTGCAGCGGACGCTTCGAGTCTGGCTTCAGGACGCTGTCGAAGAGCGCCTGTAGATCCGATTCCGAGTTCTGATCGATCCTCACCACGAGATTGCTCTTCGACAACTGGTCCACGTCCTGGTTCAGCGCCATTTTGGATCACGCAGTTCTGATCTAACGCGCTTTCGGTCTGCCCGTCTTTCCCTCCTCGTGTCCTGTTGTACCACTGGCCTTACCTTTCGTTCTTTCTTTATTTCCGTCTTTCCCTTTCGCTCCCACCTTTTCCGTCTTCCGTCTGTCTATCTATCTATCTCGTACCGTTCCTGTCGTTCTCTTTCGCTGCGAGCCCGTTCTCGCCCGAGACCGTTCCCTCTTTCTTTCTACCTTTTACGTTCTCCTCGCGTTTCCTCGAGTTGTCTTCTTTTACGGTACACCTATGCGCACGTCGTGTACACGGCGAACGACCAGTCATGAGCAGTCGTACACACACCGTCTCGCTCTCCTCCGTCACTCTTCGGTCCCTCGACAACGCGATAGCTTCGTCTCTGTTCCACCTGTGCGTTTCGCGCGAGACAACAAAACAAGCAGGACAATGCCGCCGCCGCCGCCGCTGCCGCCGTCGTCGTCGTTGCGATCTACCACGGGCTCCCCTTTGTACCGGTGCCCACGACAATACCCTCGAGTCCCTCGACGTGCAACGTCTCCACCGCCGTTTACCGCGATATCGCGCACCAGGAGAAATCGACTCGTTTTGCTAGCCGGCCGTCTAGCAAACGAGTGCTAGCGTTCACCGTGCGTGGACACGCGATTACGTACAGGGCCTAGAAACTCCCGTCTGTTCAACCGATGCTCCGACCCTCCCGCCATCTGCTGGCCGTCGTTCCTACTAAACCACAATGGCGGTATATACGAAAATTTCTTTAAAAGGGTATTCTGCTCTAGGTCACTTTTTAAGCCTATTTCGGAAATTTTTTACGAGAAAACCATGACTTATGTTGTAAGCAACCTTTAGGTTTGTAATGAATGAATGCGGTTATATTATGTGAGAGTTTCGATTGAAGGCATTGCCGACTATGTGTGTGTGTTTCGCGTGAAGTATGTATTAGAAGTTGTTCATTTTATTAGTTAATCGTTTGTTAATAATAATTTAGTTAGTTACGGTCGAGCCAGCTTTCTGTACAAAACATTGAATTTAGATATTAAAGGGAAAATATCTTACAATGTATATATATTATTTTTTTCAACTGAAAATAAAGAGCACCATGATTAGTATAAATATGGTTATCGAGTGAACCACGATAAATAGAAAATCTGAATAATTAATCAAAATTTTCAATTTACGTGTTTTTATCTTTCCAATATCCGAATTTGTTATCACACAAGTTTCAGAGCTTCGAACTAAACAGTCCTCTTAAAGAAGCACTGTAAATCTGTTTGACATTCACCTGCTTCTTTAGAATGTTCCATGGATGATGAAGTGGATACAAATAAAACCACGTGACTGTAACAGGGCTGTATTGACAAAACGCTATTCCCCAAATACATCCAAATACACCAAAATTTGTACAAGTCTCCATATCTTTACATAAACAATAGTGACTCATTTTACAATTCTATATGCACCATTTTAACAGAAGAAAAATATGAGTATAATAATATAATAAAAATGCAAATATTTCGATCCATAATACGTTGGATCTAAAATACATCCCTGACTGAAGCCTCATGTCAACATAGTGAACCAATGAAATTTTAGTCATGTGACAAGCTTTGTTTACATCCAATTTTATCCAATGAAACATACTACAAACGCATTAACAGTTACAATTTTATATCGAAAACAAAATTATTCTGAAAAAAGATAACTATAATGATTGTTAGTTTACTGTTTATCGATAAATGTAAACAATGTCTCGCTAATAAAATCAATGTACAATTTATACATATCTGTTATGATTCTTACAACGTATAAGAAATTTTGGAATATTCCGAGTGCGAACTGTTCCGAATACAAAAGTATTAATTGCCATTTGTTTCTCTTACGTAATCGCGTCATCTATCCGGGAATTTTGAAAGCTATTTAATACAGATACATTCCGAAAAATAAACTGCAACCGGTAAGAAAAATATAATAGCAATAGGGTAAATCAAAATTACAGTCACAATTAATTAATTCTGTTTCGAACTCATTAACAAACAATATTGTTCGTGTAACAGTTTAAATACATACATCTCTGCTACCAGTAGCTTTTTGAAATGGCCATACTCTCGGAATCCCTACGGTCCACTCTTGTTATTCTTCATTTGCAATCCACCGACTTTCGATGCAGGAAAAAACGTCTGGTTCCATAAACACAATCGTCATTTCTTGATGCTGCGATGTAAAATTTCTTAATATTTGATTCCAAATAGTATCACGATCGTCACTTATTGCATCGAATGTAACAAGAGTACAAAACAACGTATATTCGAGATACCGCTTCGAAATCGGCAATTTATAAACAATGTATTTTCAGCTATGCAGTATTTGAATGATTCTGTAATTTTGCACTTAAAGTACAGTTTACAAAATCGAGGAGGCTGCGGTGTACACGCATACAATTGTATCTTGGTTGGTCGGCAATCATCTGGAACTTCTTTGGGAATATAATTTCTTTCGTATTGAACGCGTGCGCCAGACGACTTTTCACGGTTCTGTTTACTCGAAATTGCGCGATCGCACGAATCGAAATAGAAATTCGCTTCTATTTTCTATGTCTATTTCTGCGTTGACTCGTTTATCACACACGATAATTCGAGCAACGATGCGATGCACGCACACATCAATTCGGCGAGATTTTCTGGAGCCCGTGTAAACTCCGCCATCTACAATGCTGGATGGTCGATGGTTTTCGATATTTCGGTTGTGTGGTTACTTTAATTTATTGACAAAAATGTAACACTTCTATTTTAAATTGACTATGTTTTTACAACCGGAATGATACCTGTTTTATCCAAGTTAAGTTATTTGTGTAAATATTGAAGGTGTTTTTATTCAAGTAAGAACTCGACGCGAATAGCGAAAATGTCTTCGAAGAGGTATTTAATTGTTTTTACTTGGTGTTTTTTAAACTGCCAGAACTTGGCCAACTCACGGATGGAAGTTATTTGTAGATAGAAAGAATCGGCCCCTTGATTCGCAGCGCGTTTCTCTTGTTATATGAAACAATTGCACTGTATTGATTCTTTCTTTCTTTGTTAACCTGCATTATCAATTTCGCCACATTATTTATGGAGCTGATAGTTGCCTTCGATTTTTCGAATAAATTTATGAAACATCGAATCTTGAAAACCTTGTTAATATCTTTTAGAACAGTCACGGTTATTTCTTTCTTGTATTCGAATCTAAATATTAATTTACAGTAAAACATTACTGTGTAGCATGGTACTTGTCATAAAAGTATATCTCGTTCAATAAATTTATTATCGAGCGAGAAAAAACGCGTTTTATATAAATATTGCTTTCTCGTATTGCCAAATACATTACACAACTATGAATATTAGACTTTACCCAATTTTAAATTTGACATGGTCTATTTTTTTAGTGAATTAAAAAAGTTGTCAGAGGAAAGTTTAACAAGACAACCTGAAGAAGTGTTTGACATAATATGCAAATTAGGAGAGGGGTAAGTTGACAGATTTAAGAAAATATAAGAAAAATATTATATGATTCTTTAAAGGAATCTTTTTATCAATGAAAATATATATTGATATACTTTGAATTCTAATTATTTGTTTTCTCTTGCACAGATCCTATGGATCAGTTTACAAAGCATTGCACAAAGAAAGTGGACAGGTACTTGCTATTAAACAAGTACCTGTCGATACAGACTTACAGGAAATTATAAAAGAAATTTCTATCATGCAACAGTGTGATTCTCCATATGTTGTTAAATATTATGGGAGCTACTTTAAAAACACTGATTTATGGGTAACCTTAAGCACCATCATGATAAGCAGTTATGCTTCCATACTTAATTTTTCATTTCTATTTATAAGGGTATAATGTTGCAGATTGTAATGGAATATTGTGGGGCTGGATCTGTTAGCGATATTATGAGGTTAAGGAAGAAAACTCTTCAAGAAGATGAAATAGCAACAATCCTCAGTGATACCTTAAAGGGTTTAGAATATCTTCACTTGAGAAGAAAAATACATAGAGATATTAAAGCAGGAAATATCTTGCTCAATAATGAGGGGCATGCAAAGCTAGCAGATTTTGGGGTAGCAGGACAATTAACTGTAAGCTTTGCAGCATGATTTTTATTTGTAGAAAAATTTTGTTGGACGGTAGACAATTTTGAAAATTTTTTTTTTCAGGATACAATGGCAAAACGTAACACAGTAATAGGAACTCCATTCTGGATGGCTCCAGAAGTAATACAAGAAATTGGATACGATTGTGTCGCGGATATATGGTCCCTTGGTATAACTGCTTTAGAAATGGCAGAAGGCAAGCCACCATATGGTGATATACACCCAATGAGAGCAATATTTATGATACCAACTAAACCACCACCTAGCTTTAGAGAACCTGATCAGTGGAGTTCTGAATTTATCGATTTTGTCAGTGGGTGCCTTGTTAAAAATCCAGAAGAAAGAGCTACTGCAACCGAGCTTTTGAATCATGAATTTATAGGTAAAATCTAATAAGACACTTTAGTATAGTGAATTGATACATCCTTCTGAAATTTCAAAATGTCCTATGCATTGCTTTCGATGATGCTTATTTTAGGTAATGCCAAACAACCGAGTATTCTGAGTCAAATGATCGCAGACGCTCATGAAATACGAGAAAAACAGAGCGCACATCGAGCTCATGTTATTAACAACGTGGCAATAAAAAATCAAAACCAGACGGAAGACTCGGTATTTAGCTAAAACTAAATTGATTATAAATGACATTGTATATATATGTGTATACTAATACCCACAATAAATATTTAACGCCTACCATTAGGACGAAGAAGACTGTAGCGGAACGATGAAACCTTTGCCAGAGGATACAGGAACTTTAGTACCAAGTCACGATCTTCCAGATACAGGAACACTTGTTTCTGCAATGTTGGACTTAGGAACAATGGTTATTAATAGTGACACAGACACCGAAGCAACTATGAAACGTTAGTAAAAATAATTTTATACCATAATATAAAAAGTTAAGAGATAGAGTAGTCGATATAATTTGTTTGCAGGTCATAATACAGGGTCAGTTGAATCCGGAAAGAAATACCGGCCATTATTTTTAGATCATTTTGACAAAAAGGAAGCACCTGAAATAGGAAAGGTAAGATTAACACATTGTTATATGCGTGCATATTATACTGTAAAATGTGAAAGAAATTAATTTGTTGATCGTTTAGGGTAATGGACAAATACTTGGGGCGCATAATCCAGATAATGAAAGTAAATTAGAATTACGAAGCCCGACAGAATCTCAAAGGTTTCAAAGTCATCTACAATTACAGCTTAACCAGATTTCTCATCCTGTACAAGAGCAACCTCATAATAACATATCTAAGTTCCAAAATGTCTTCGCGGAACGCGATTTCGATTTCGTAAGTAACGAATACTTATCAATTTTCAATTAGAGAAAGTTAAAAATAATTTACCGATGATTCCCAGTGTTCTGCATTTTTTTTTTTCTTTAACTGAAAATCAATCGACCTAATGCCACTTTAGGCATCATATATAAAAAACTTGAATATAGATAAACAACCATATCCTGCAGCTGAAGTTTCTCTCATACGAGGAACTACAGCAACGAATGGCTAATCTGGACGCAGAAATGGAGCGGGAAATCGACGAACTAAGAAGAAGGTACCAAACGAAGAGGCAACCAATTCTTGACGCCATGGATACTAAGCGGAAACGTCAGCAGAACTTCTAACAGTTTGGTTAATTTTTTTTTATGCAAATAGGTGTGATGACGATAGATAAAGGGTGTACAGTTGTATAAATGAATAGATTTTATTCGTCTCGACCTTAGTTTCATCAAAGAGAAGAACGTTGACATTTCAATTACATATTTAGCTAACGAAAAGAGTGACAGCAATTAAAGTATTTTCTTCTCTTTATAAGCCAATGTTCTTCCTCTTTATGAATTAAGAACGAGTAACTAATACTAGCTAATAGCCTCACGTCACCAATGTAAATTATTTTACATGATTTAGGTGAACAATCATTATACTTAATTTTTTATCATTATGTTTACCTATCTATTGTTAAATATGCTATTCTTATAGAAATATTATGGAATCTCCTCAGCATTCTTTAGAAACTAAAGCAAAAAGAAAAAAAAAGGAAAGCAATCGAATGCAATGGGAGTGGAATAATTAGAATGCCATATTTGTAATTTTTTTTTTTGTTGAGAATGAAATCCAGTGAGGTGTCCACGTGAAATTGATATTCGGTTTTCGTCTTACGCTAGTCACCTATTATGCCATTTATTTTATCCATAATATTACATTATCAAATATCATCACTCATACGAAATACATGCATGGAGATCATCCCGAAAATATATTTATATAATCTTGTGCGCTAATGTATCGTTTACTTGCGAAAGCAATTTCTGATAAGTGAGCAAACTTTAGAAGGTATTAAAGAATTTACTCCTTTTTTTTACTGCCATAGATATTATTACGCGTTTACCTACAGATATTAATATTAGGTTATGGAACATTCGTTCTTACGTCAATGACTTAGTTTTAAAGTTTTGTAAAATGGAAATCGCGAATTGTTTGGTAGTGTTTTATACCACGCAAGATTAGAAATTAGAGTGATAACATCTCAATGTCGAATATAATATGACGAATGAATTTACTGAAATTAGTCTTCCGTATTAGAACGTATTTCAATATTTCACTAATTCGTTAAAATCAGTATTCAAATTGCTGAGAATGATCATCACAAAGCAATGGCAAGATTTATAATATTTTTAGATTTATATAAATTTATATTTTATTGAAATGCATTTTTTTTTATTTTTTTTAAATAATTTTCGTACGTAAGATTTTCAAATATGTTATCATTGTGTTTTTTTATACAAATTTCAATGAATGCTGGTGGTATCAGAGTTGGGCATTAATCGACACGTTCTTCTCAACTAGATAATCAATCGATTACACGATGCAACTCAAAATTTAGTCGTCGGAATTAATCATTAATCGCGAGCGATTAATGGCCGACAATTAAATTAATCGTTAATCGCTTACGACGATAGGCCATCAAATTAATCACTTATTCTTACTGAATAATGTTTCATCTGGTTAATTAGTCGTCGGTCGCTTATGGCAATCTTCAATTAAATTAATGGTTACTCTTCGGTAGTCATACGCGACCGAAGCGATTTACGATTAATTTAATCATCGATCGTTACGATCGATCGCCGGTTAATTTAATCGCAAGCGATTAAAGATTACCCGTTTCGATCGTAATCGTTAATTGTCACTTTGACTAAATTTTGCCCAACACTGGTTGGTGTAGGTCATGCCCGAGAAATAGTAACGCATGTATGTACTACTAAGAATGCTACAACATAGTGGAGTAATTCTTTGCTGACGTTGGGCTATTTTAAAAAGTAGCGGAAATAGATTTATAATACTTAAACGCTATAGCCAGAACTGACTTTTCTGTTTATTTAGAAAGTAACAATACAGAATAACAACATATTTTTGATATAGAAAATATGCACATTACAATCTAAGGAAATTCGAATATTAATTATTAAATCCAGTCTTTATATGGCCCTACCATGACACACAATATTATCATAATAATAGCGTTGGGTCCCATTGTTAACACGATGAGCAGATAAATAAGTTATAATCTAAAAAAAGTAATATTTCTACTGTTTGATGAAAAATAGAACGCACCATTCACTGCGACATGCGAACTCCATCAACATATATGCGTTAATAATGTAATAGAAACGAATAAATTTTATTCCTGCAGAATTACGTTTGACCACTTCAAGGCTAATATGTGTCCCCCAAACTTTGTAGGATCGACGCGAGGGGGCAGACTTCGAAATTAGCCTTGTTTCCAGCCATTCGTATGAGACACTGCCTGCCTTTTACGTATTTGATTTTACCAATAATAAAATATTGTGCATATTTCGGTTTATTTAAATTTTCTTCTTTTTTTAACTTCTATCTGATATTTTAATTATTTTGTCGAATAAGATGTAAGTACATTTATGTAAAAATTTATACTTTCCTTTTTTTTACAACTCATTCACTTTCTATAAATGCACATTTCATATTTACACTTATGTTATCGTAAAGAATTAAATTATTATCGAACTTAATTATAATAAATAAAAATTATACAGTCATTGCCTATGTCATTATAACTTGTTTACACCGAATTAAAAACTTTACCATTATATTTTTATTAATAATAACATTTATACAAAGAAATTATTACAAATTTTCGAGCATTTAAATTCTGTAGTTTCTATGTTACTTTTTTAAAATTGAAAGTAACACAGCTTTTTAAAAATTAATGCCAACAAAATTGTTATGATATTAGTACATAAGTATAAAATTATCCTTCTACACTTAATGCGAGAATCTTATAAATTTATATCACTTGGTTACATGTCAGCAAAAATATATTAATATCATTTGAGAAGTTTTAGAAAACTATTTAGATATTTATAAGGCATATCCTGTCTCATCACATTATTTTCATATATTCATAAATCATCATCGCCAATCATGTTAAATGCATTATTTTCCATAATATCACATTCTGATATATGTTTTCTTTGAATTTTATCGTTTGTGCTAACTTTTACGTTAGTGGATTTTTTTATTCTAACTACCGAGAATCTATCCGCAAGTTTTTTCATAATTGGTTCTGATTTAGAAGGTTGTTTGATACAATGACTCTAAAACGACATATAACGATAATTAAATTCGATATAAAAAAAATAGTCATAAGTATAATTCAAATCACATACCTTTTTACTTCCGTCTGATTGTTCATCCGAAGACGATCCCATTGTGACACTCTGCCCATCTCGCATAATATATGTCCACGATTTTCCTGGTGACACATCCTATAAATAAATTCTCAAATATTTGACTTTATTTAGCAAATTAATAATAATAAGTATTTATTAACCTGAATCTTATTGCCGCCGACATTCTTTAACAGTAATTCATCGATCATAGCTTGCAAACATACGGACATTAAAATAGCTTGTTCTGAAGTAATTGTCACCCATTGCAATTGATTCTTAGCTACTAAGTATTCAAAAGATAACTCCAAACTGATGTCATCATTTTCTTCGCATCTGTCAACCCCCTAATGCGTCAGACAGTGAACATTAATTTACATAACAGAGTTAAAATACGGTTTTATATTATAAATTACTTACATTTTGTACAGTAGTTATTCGCCAACAACGCATTCGAGAAACTTTAAACATTTCTTCGTGTTGTTCCCCGTCGGATAATGTACGCAAATTCAATTCATTTCTACCTATAGCAACTAATACTTTTGAATCTGCTTGAGGGTAATCGCAAAAGCATGGAGCAAACTGAATATAACCATAATACTTTAAAGTACGCGCTATATCCAGATACTACAATGATAATATTTAAAATAAATGAATATGTGAAAATAATATAATTATAGAAACCATAAATCTCGATCAAAAGTAGATTGACGTAATAGGCAGCAAACAATATTCTTATTAGTCCATAGGTAATTTAACAAGTAATCAACAAGCAATCGGTTTTAAAATTTGTCCAAAACCTAAACCAATCTACTTCTGTCTTCCTATTACATCACATATTAAAACATACTTCTTTTTTCTTTGCATGACTCTGTGAAGTGGTCAGACGATCTTGTAGTTCGTCTGCAACTAAAATCCACCCTCGTTGAATTTCAGCAACTGTTTGAATATACAATAAATTCATTGCTACTGCATTAGTCATTAGTTCAAGATCATATCCCACATCCCAGTAATTCTTTCCAAGTACAACCCTACTACCTATAGTGTGTATATATTTGTTTGTTATAAATGGAGATTCAAAATCCTGTAATTTTCGTAGTACTGAAAACAATATGTATAAAGGATTACAAATTAAATGGAATAGCAATGTACAAATTGTTACTAGAAAGTTACACTTACAATAGACACTATTACCTTCATCCTGAGCCACAATAAATAATGCAAAATATATATGATATTGTTCTGGCAGTTTAAAATGGTTGTAGACTTTCTGTTGAGCAGAAAAATTCGAATTAAATTTTAATTAATTTTGCGTACTGTAAACTTCTTTTTAAGTAAGAATATACCTTTAAAACAATTCCAGAATGATCTCCTGAGGAAACATTTATTGTTACCTTAGAACCATTCATAAGAAAAACGTCCACAACTTCATTATTGGATAATCCACCTATAGTTTCTTGTTGAGCATTTAGTAAGAATGCATTCAGCATTCCTGATTTATTGACTGTTGCATTTTGTCCGATCGATTGAATATACTTTTCCAAAGACAAACGACGTTCTTCTTGCTGATTTAACGTTAAAGGGAAGAACTTTTTTGGTGGAAACAACAGGATAGGTATATCCAAATCCTTTGTTAATTGTTCATGAAGATTGTGCAACTGTTTGTACCTTACGGTACAATGAAATAATCCATTTATATGAATGTTATAACCCTACAAATTTAAATTAAACAAAATAAATGTATATTAACACGCTGTATTGTATGCGTACTTTGCAATAGAAATAGTTACCACATATGTATTACCAGCTGTATCAATAAATTCTTGTGTATCTGGTATAGAAAAATGCATTTTTGTAAAATTACGTACTAGTGGTTTATATATATTGGCGATTAGAAAGATACATCATAGAAAAGTTATTTAACAAAATGAACGTATGTAAAAATATAATCCAAAATGTACAAAAATATCTATATAAAAAACACCACATTGTACACAATTAAAATGCAATTGTGTCTAAAAATGGATATGCATACATTTCTGAGAAAATTCCACCATCTGAAAAATACAATTATAATAAACAGCGAATAAAATAGAATGAACAAGAACTTAAATTTTTGTTTAAATAAATCAGGTATATAAAAAATATATACATACATATGTAACAAATGAAACTCAACAGACATTAGAACGAATCAAACGTAAATTTACGTATTTAACAGTTAACATATGTAACATTATTTCATTTGTATGTCATAATCAAATATAATTACGTTTGTAATTAACTGCACGAAATACTTACGTATTGTCGGATTACCTTGTTGGCATTATCCGTTAACAATAGGCGTATTCGTTTTACACCCGCTCAACAACTATATTTCATGCGATTAAAGCTGACGCATTTTTTACTACTTACATAAATACAAACATACACTGACGTGTAAATGAATATAACTTTTTAAAACTGAAATTCCATTACGCAAACGGTAAATTCCGAGATTATTTTCCAAAGTTACCAAGTTTTTAATACAATGACGCGATACTAAATTTTGTACATTTACTATATAATTTTATTCCTTCCATGTTTTAAAACATATTTAATTTCTCTACATTCCCAACACTTTTGTTTTGTAATCTTGTAGGCGCCACGGCGCCCGTTGCAATTTCTATTTTTAAACGTTGAGTAGTAGTACTTAGATCAGATACTCGTTTGAATATTTCAATTTGTTTCAAACTTTTGATACAGTAAATAAAAATTAGAATTTGTATTAAATCTAATATTTCATTTCACAGTTACATGCATATAATTCGTTTCTTTCTTCATGGCAAATTTTCTTTATGCGAAGTTACTAAATTATTACCAGTGACAGGTTATATTTTCATGGGGCCTAAGACAACATTGAATTTGGAAGCCCCGTTTGAAAAAACCTAAATAAAGATCATTTTATATTGAATCTCGTCGAGATAATAAAACAAAAAATCATATAACGTAAAATATTTAACACAAAACGATAATACACAAACCACGGAATGAAATAATAACGAATCACTGACCAGTACAGAAATTTATTATGTTTATACAACATGAATGCGCAATATAAAAAGTTTCAGCACTTGATATCGTATGTTACATCTATAATTTATAAAAATACTGCAATGCATTTATGGATAATTTCATTTTGGAATAAATCGCTACTTCCGGTTAATCTCGAACGATATATCGATGTGTATACGATGTATCGCGCGTGAGAAGAGTTTCTTTCCGATAAAAGGTTCGCGCTGAAACGTCAAGTACGTTTGGTTTCATATAATATCTGTTTTAATCGTAATCATAAATAAATATAATGAGAAAGTAGAATGTTTTTAAAATTCTTCTATTTTTACTGAATTAGAGAACTGTTATATTATCGATATTTCTTCGGTATTACTATATTGAACAATATTGACATTATGCGGCTAACCTAAGAGAATTTTCTTATTTACCTTGTATTGTTAATGTAAATTTATATCACAGTATTTTAAATTTGTTTACTCCAATTGAAAAAAATATGTTATTTCTGTTGTCCGAATTTGAAATATTAGAATTTCTTTTACGCGAGATGATATAAACAGTTCGTATAACCTATAAATACGGTTATGCTCGTCACTAAATAACAAAAATTTGTTCCCTATAAACAGAATGTAATAAGTAAACATCTTACTTTCTCCATTATATAATTTATTGTAAAAAATTGTATTCACAATGATGGTTATTAATTTTTAAATTACTGTTTGTTACTTTCAGGATGTTGATGCCAAAAAAGAACCGCGTAGCGATTTACGAATATCTTTTTAAAGAGGGTGTTATGGTTGCAAAAAAAGACTACCATGCACCAAAACATCCAGAACTGGAAACTATTCCAAACCTTCAAGTTATTAAGGCTATGCAGGTAATAATTATATGTAATTCAACATTATTGTTTGGTTTGTTAATAGATTGTTTTACTCTGTAGTTGCATTAATTTTCTGTTGCAGTCTTTAAAATCTAGGGGGTATGTCAAAGAACAGTTCGCTTGGAGACATTTTTATTGGTATTTGACAAACGAAGGTATTGAATTTTTACGTGGTTACCTGCATCTACCTCCTGAAATTGTACCTTCCACTCTGAAGAGACAGTCCAAGTCAGAAACCACAAGGCCACGACCGGCAGCAGCTACAAGAAGCGAAACGTCTAGGCCCACCGAAGATCGTGCTGGATACAGACGAGGCCCTGGCGGTCCTGCGGGTCCTGCAGGCTCTGGTGACAAAAAGGCAGATGTTGGCGCAGGCACAGGAGATGTCGAATTCCGCGGTGGTTTCGGTCGTGGTAAACCACAATAATATTTTAATGTAAAATAAATAAATCTTTCATAATGTAGGAAGTTCTATTATTTCCATCATCCATCCTATATCAAAACATCGATTACATATTTATTTCAAATAAAAAGAATGAAGAGTTGAAAGTAACTTTTTGCTTTATTTTCTATTACATTATGAAAATGTACATTTACTTACAACTTATACAGTTAGTAGTTACTAATATGTAAAACTATGGAAGCAAATAATAGACGATCTATATTTACAATTATAAACTATGGAAATCAGAATTTTTCTGCAGGTAAATGTACCGATCAATATCATTTTTTACAAGGCACGCATGAAACTGGAAACATCACAGATATATATATTTGTGCTAAAGCAAAAGCTTTAAATAAAAAGTTTTCGATTACTTTATTGTATAAACAAAGTAAAACCAAACTATTTTCTTACTAATGTGTTCTCTTGCCTAAACTAAAACAGAAATTTAAATACTATTAGCGATATGGTATAGGCTTTCTGTTTGCAATTATTAAAAGCTAAAATTTTTTCCAATTAAATTGTTAATACTTACACTGAATGGAAAGATGCATTAATCGCACAGCATACATCATGTTTTATTTTCATATAAATATTAATCGCTTATATATGCATAATTTCCAAGTAATGCCAAGTTACATTTCAATTTCCACTACTTTATATGCTCGGTAAAATAAATATATATTTATTTTATGAACAAGTCAAAAGTAATCATTTTCAAATCCTACTTACAATCAGAAGTTTTAATACAATACATATAATGAATTACTTAGATTTTATGCTTTATCGCAATATTTATTTCTACCGCTCGTCGTATTCGATCAACGAATACTATTGTTTATTATATTCTTTATGTAAGCAGACTTCAATTTGACAATTTTTATAATTTTTAATGTTTCCTCGATAATATCAGTGTTTGTATTGCTGAGTTTCATTTAATGGCAATTTAATTTCGTACATGATAAATACTACTCGGTTATTAAATTCTTCACGCAAATGTGTATTCAAATAAAGCAATCAGCAAAGGAAGTCTTACTTTGTAAAGTATACAGTTGACAAGAGAGTCAATGAGTCTAATTGGAAAATAATTTTATATACATTGTAAGAAGATTAAACGATAACGTTAAACTAATTGGAATTAAATTTAATAATATATATACAAAGATGATATATTTTAATCATTTTGTATGACCTTGAAGTTTCTTGGTGTCATGCAAAATTTTTTTATGGCCTATCAATTTGATATACTTGCATGTACCATATATATAAATATGTATACGTACCAATTGCAAGGACTATAAAAACTATGTTTAAAACCATAAAAAAATCACATTTATATACATTAATTAATACATATATATATACACAGAAATACCAAAATATGTATATACATATATACTAATTCAGTAATGGATTTACTTATCGAAGAATTAATTTTGACATCTTCTAAAAGAGAAATGAAAGTAATGACAATTGTAGAACCTAAGAGCAGTGTCTTAATAATTTTAACTATTGTCGCATCTCATTGTATCACAATTTGTACTCCAAAGGAGACAATTACCAATGCCACTGTAACAAATTAGGAAAACAGCAACAAGAAACACTAAACTGCAGATGGTGCATGGCTTTCGTTCTAGGAAGAATCCGATTAGGTACAATGCCATGAACATGACATGCGTTTGTAGCAATGCTGGATTAACTGGCTTTGGTATCAGCAGTACTGGAATCAACCACTGTAGGCAATACATCTTTTCCCTTTTTATAGTTGTCAAAGATGTATTTACAACTCTTCGGTCTAGCTCTCTCATTTATCACAGAACCTCTCTAAAACGGAAGAATACATAATATTTTCCCTTTAATTGATCTACGAACTCTATGGTCGATACACAGACTATTATATTACCTTCGATATCTTATTTGGAAGCACTACGATTCTCTCGAAACATTTTGTTCCTTCAAATCGTAACGATTTAACGGTAGATATCCATGCTAACGCAAATATCACCCACCTAAATTTTTACAAATACGATTACACACAATCATGAATTAAACAGAATACAGTCATGGTATTCTCGTCAATGAATACCAATGTTCGCTTCATAAGGATAACCTTAAGATTGTCCTTGAAATGAACAAAACCAATCACAGAATTGTTCTTTAATTATTTTTTAGTATATTTAATCACCCTTTTTTCTTCTTTGTTTATGTATCACTCGTTTCATTTTATTTGTAACTTTTATATATTAATAATTTAATATGTCGATAAGATTCTATACTTTGTACAATGATAAACTTCGAACAAATGAAATCAGCTCCCTCTGGTGGCATTGTTTTGGCGCAAAAAGTGATACGTAATTATATTTTGCACGAAGCGAATTCAAATGTCGTACTGGTGTAATGAATTCTTTTTTAATAAACGTAACAACATGTAATTATATTATATATTAGTTCAATACTTTTAGTTTTGCGTACACATTTATCATGTATCGAAATAACCAAACAAAGGGTTTCAAACCTGTTTTAAAATGCCAACAATCAATGGACGATAAGACCAAGGAGAATTTAGAAAATGATAAATCGTTGGAAAATCTAAATGAAATTACTTGTAGAAGTACTACGAAAATTCTTAATTTATTCAAAAGACCAATCGAGAATTGTAACAAAGAAGTACTCGAAAAAGATGATTCGACCAAGACGAACGAAAACAATTCGGGCGACGGAGAAAATTCACCTTCTGTTATTGATAACAATTCTTTGTCTAGTATTTTCAACGTAGTAATTGGTAAAAAATCCACAAGAAAACATAAAAAATGGGATGATGATGGAACTTTGGAAGTTACAGGAAAACACGCAATTTTGAAGGTAACACACATAATAATACACTTAATTCTCTGTTACTACATTAATTTTTATATTAAATAGGATTCAGAAGGCAAGATTATTCATAGGAAAGTGGTTAATCCAGAAACACTTGTGGAAGGTGGTAGATTATATTTTGATAATAAAGAGATTGAGGTAACAACAAATAATTTATATAAATTGTTTTAATTTGCATGCAAGATCAATTTATAATTATTTATAGATTATTGATAGAGCAACATCAAGGCAATTATTGTCAAATGAGTCGGTCAAAGAGTTAATTCCAGAGCCACCCAGAAAAAAGTTAAAAACTTCAAGTTCCAGTGTATGCCTTCCCTTTGGATCTTTAAAAAAAGGTTTGACACAAATAAAAATACCAAAAGATCTATTTGAAAATCATAATTCATAATACATTGAAAATATTGATATTTATATTGTATTAAAGGGCTCAAATTAACATGCAATTCTTTGGTAATGCCTTCTTTGAATACTTCAAGAAATTGGATGGAAAATGATATTCCAGAAAAGGAGGAAGAAGTGTCTGTTGATGCATGTTTAGTAAATGTACTTAGACCACATCAACGTTATGGTATTGTATTTTTATATGAATGCATCATGGGTTTGAAGGTACCTAATTGCTCTGGTGCAATTTTGGCTGATGAAATGGGCCTTGGTAAAACATTACAATGCATTACAATTATTTGGACACTGTTGAAAAAGGGACCGTATGGAAAACCAGTATTGAAATATGTATTAATAGTAACTCCTAGTAGCCTATGCAATAACTGGAACAAAGAATTTGGACACTGGCTGGGTTTTCATAGAATCTGCCCATATGTTGTAAATGCCAAAAACAAACTGAAAGATTTCAAAAAGCAAATGAAAAATTCAATAATGATTGTTAGTTATGATATGCTTATTAGATGTCAAGAAGAACTTGAACAAATGACCTTTGATTTAATTGTGTGCGATGAAGGTCATAGATTGAAAAATAATGATATTAAAGCAGCAAAGGTAATGCTATTAGTCTTGACGAAAAAAACATTTTTTTTTAAATAAAAAAAAAAATGTTTAACTCTTATTTTCTTGCCAGATATTAAACAACATGAACTGCAAAAGGAGAATTCTCTTGAGTGGAACCCCTGTACAAAATGATTTACGAGAATTTTTTGCCCTACTTGATTTCGTAAACCCGGGTATATTGGGTAGCAATCACGAGTTTAAAAATTATTATGAAAATCCTATTGTAGCTTCACAATGCCCTCACGCGCCTGACAGCGTTGTATCTCTGGGAATAGAAAGGGCCAATGAATTAAATGAAAAAACCAAGTATTTCGTTTTAAGACGAACACAAGACACAATTAATAAATATTTACCACCTAAGCACGAGCTAGTTGTATTTTGCCGTTTATCGAACGAACAGGAACGTCTATATTCTCTCGTTACAGACGCTTGGTTTAATACAACTGCACTACCAAATAACAGCATTCCACATCTGACAGTAATAACAGTTCTCAAAAAGATCTGTAACCATCCTGACTTATTTTACAACGAGAAGAATGATTTTTTGCATAACGTAAATGTAAATAAAATTTCCCAAATAAAAAATTCTGTAAGCACTTCGAAAAATGCATATTGTGGAAAAATTTCGGTTGTACAAACATTAATGAGAAATTTAAAGGAGACAGATGAAAAATTAGTCTTGATTTCGTACTATACGCAAACGCTTGATGTATTGGAAACTGTTTGTAACGCAGAAAGTATGAAGTTTCTCAGATTAGATGGTAGTACACCAAACAGCTCAAGACCTAAGATCATTGAACAGTTCAATTCTAAAATTGATAACAGCAGTTAGTATGCATTACAGAATATTTGATCGAATCAAACATTTAATTATGTTTGTTGACTGACTAATTTCGATATAATTATTGCAGAAATATTTTTATTAAGTGCAAAAGCTGGTGGGGTTGGATTAAATTTGCCTGGTGCATCTAGATTGATATTGTTCGACTCAGATTGGAATCCAGCATCCGATTCTCAAGCCATGGCGCGAATTTGGCGAGATGGGCAAAAAAAAGATGTTTATATATTACGGTTAGGACATTCTAAATTTGTTAGTAAATATCAATATAAATCAATATCAAAATGATACGAAAAATTTATAGATTACTAACAACAGGTACCATTGAAGAAAAAATCTTTCAAAGACAAATTAGTAAAGCAGGCTTAAGCGAAACTGTGATGGATCTGAATTACTTTACTTCCCTAAAATTGTCTATGAGCGAATTAAAGGTTTGCTTCTTATGCAAATTTGAAACATTCACTGAATGAAAACGGTGCTGGTTTATAATAGTTGCAATACTTTCAGGACCTGTTTACATTAACGACAGACACAAAATGTTCAACTCACGATTTAATGAAATGTGATTGCAATGGTTATAAAAAAATGGAGAAGAAAGTAGAAAAATCGGATCACGAAGACATACGAGAACATCAATTAATATTAGAAAATAAAACGCCTCAACAAAATTTAACGATAAATCAACTTTTAGAATGGGAGCATTATCAACAACCAGTTCCAGATGAACTGATGCAGGTAAAAACAATTTAATACTATAAATATTAAACCTCAATTCTGTTAATTAATTTTAACATTCTTTTAGGAAATCATGTTATCAGAAATGTCTGATCATGTAACGTTCTTATTTAAAAATTCCATTTTAAATAAAAAACTTTAATTATCATTTATTCTATGAAAATAATATATTTTATAAAAATTTATAAAATAATGTTTATTATAATATTTTTGATATAAATGCATCTTCATTATTTCTCATTCCTTGACCACCGTTAAATTAATGCGCTGGGAAGTGGAAATAATTTTAAATTTTGCTTTTACGCGACATAATAGTTACAAGTCTCTCTATGAAATCAGAAGACTGCATACATTTTCTCAATTCGACTGATTCTTGTGCATTAGTTTCCAATAAAATTTCCTTGTTCCATCTTTTAACTAAACTTTTAATTGCTAGTATTGACTGGAAAAAAATTTGTTACTTGTTTTAAAATAACTCCATTACTATTTTCTATGGAATAGATGTCTTAGAAACATACACTAGGTGAAAGCATAGTCACTGTTTTTAAATATGTCCAAACATCATCTAAATGTTCATGTTTATATACTTCGCTAACTAAACCATATTGTTTAGCTTCAAGAGCATTCATTTTGTAGCCTAAATATAATATATCACCAGCCTAAAGGGAAATAACTATAAAAATTACAAACTATTTAACAAGCAACAGTAATAAATCATTAAACACCTTAGATTGTCCAAATAGTTTAGGAAATGTATATGTAGAACATCCTTCTGCAACAAGACCTAATCTAGTAAATGGTGTTTGAAAATAAGCCTGTGGTATTAGACAAATAATGAATTACACATTAATTCTACATAAAAAATGATGTAGTTTTATAGTTATATAGCAGTATATAAGAATTACCGTATCTGATGCATATACCATGTCAAACAATGGTAGCATTGTTACTGCAATTCCAATTGCAAGACCATTTACAATGGCTACTAAAAGCTTGGGAAATGTAATTAAATTATCCACAAAATTTCTAAAAAATTCTTCGAAATTAAATTGAAATAAAAGTATAAAGATTGAAATTGAAATATACTAAACAATAGATACGGATACTTGCTTGAAAGTAGTAATTGAACTTTCAGCATCAACATCTTCGTTCATTCCTAGAGAAGAAAAATCATTTCCGCTGCTAAAAATATTACCAACGCCAGTTAAGACTACCATGCGTATATCATCGTTCTGAATAGATTCATGTAAGATCTGTGATAATTGTTTATACATCTGTTGAATAAAACATTACTGTTTTTCCATATGTTTTAAATTGTCAATGCTTTTATATTAACATTTCCTGCTTGTACAGCAAATATATTCACAAATTTGCATTCGAATGATGTTAATATGTCATATTGTTGTGCACCCCAACCTTAAAATTAATAATTACACAATTTATAATTACGTACCGATTCGTTGATAGCATTTTTTTTTTCTAGTCGATTTAATACGATTTTCTGAATACCATTTTCTATGGAACACAAAATATTAGATGAACTTTTAGTTTTCATCGTATAAAATAGTTGTTTATTTAAAGACTTTAATGTACACTGGATGAAAAACAAATCACGTCTCACGTATAAATTTTCTTCGAGAAAAAAAATAAGATAATTTGCTTGTCATTCAAAATTGGTATTACTATTATCAATAATATATTATGCATAGTTATAATATTTAAAGTTCAACAACTCTAATAATGTTCAGAAATTTTTTTAAAATTTTTAATTACTTACATATAATTATTGTTGTATTATGAAGAATATATGGAATATGAATGTTTGGAACTAATAACAAAATTTATTCATATAATAACATGATCTTTTACAATAAATTAAAAATAGGGATAAATAATGGAGGTACAAAATATCCATAATCTTAAATATATTCAATACTACCTTGTGTTTTCCTTTGTTCTCCACAAACCAGTAAACTACTTGATTGAACTTTAATTTTTCAAGTGCATTTTATGCACATCACTTACAATAATACTAGGAATTTACTGTTCTGCGGTAGTAACTTTAGCAAATCACAGCCACTATAACTTTTAGTTGGAAAGATTAAACGAAATATAGAAAGTAATGATTGTACTATGAAAACAGCTGCCAATATAGGAAAGTATATCATATGATTCTAATGTTCGTATAATAACATACTTTTGTACAAAATATCAAAACAAAGAGACATATTCACATAGTAAGCATGACTTGTTTTGTTTTAGCGATACACGTTTGTAAACGCTACAAACGATTATCCGTATGTTGCATTATGTATCTAATATTGCTTTTCAAATGGATACTTGAATTATAAATAACGATAATCGCAATTTAACTTATTTGTAGTAGTACCATTTGAATAAACCTAAAATAAGTACTGTAAGGATAGTGTATTTTTGTACTTATACATGTGTCGATATTATCATATCCGATGTACATATTTCTTTGTGACCAGCATTTGCAAATATGTAATCTACTAAAAATGATTGATTTCAAATTTCTTATTGATTTCAAAACTATATTTTGTAACCACAGATTACATGGCCATATTACTGTCTCCTAGACAACATTTCTACAAAAGTCAGTATTTCATAAATAGTAATGTTTGTACATTGTATAGAACTTATTTAAAATGGAAATATCATAAAGAATGTCTAAATGCTTATAATTATCCTGATGTATAAATTAAGACTTTCAATTATATGTAAACATTTTTCACAAAACAAAAGTAAATTAAGAAAAATTATTATATCTATTTGGAAATGAAAATTTTATTTAGAAATGAATTCAAATAATAATCTTTTTTCTATGTTCACCAAAATATGAAATTAGTCAAATTTTGTTTGCACAAACAATTCGAATGTAATCGAAATTTTATAAAAGATACGCATAAGATAAATTGTTGCCTTCAAATGTTATCTTTTCAGGTATAGTAAAACATTTAGAATTGAAGCGAGAGATACGATTATTAACGTGCATTGTAAAATCAGAAGTTGGAAATATAATAACAACTTTGGTATTTTAAAACAACAAAAATTCGATTAAATAAACGTAAACGACAATAGAATCAAAATAAATATTTACCGCAAATAATAATTCATTACCGGTAGTGTGTCTTTTCCTTTAGGATTTAAACATTTTCATCTACTGCTGTCTTTACTTCTTCGCCAAGCACTAGACTTAAGTAGCAGTAAAGTTGGAAGTAATTAATTTAATAAAGAACAATAAGGTAATAAGGTTAACGCTTAAAATATTAATATATTTTATAGAATTATTACGGCTTCAAAACTTTTTCGATGAATTTCTTCATGTCGTGCATTTCCTGTGAAAGTAATGATCATTGTTAAACATTTATAAAAAACATTGTTGTTTGTTTTTTATATTTTAGTTCGATTATCAATTTCTAGAAACACTGCAATAATTATAAAGCAGGCAAATTCATTGATTATGTTCATAAATCAAACTTAGCAATTTCAATTTTAACTATCATTCTTCCTGCCCAAATACATTATGCATTATTTTAATTGAGAAAATACATAATGCAGATAAGGGCGCCATCTGGTTGTTTGTGAGTAGCAAACCTATTAAAAGTAGACATATACTATTCTTACCTCATCGCAAGATGCATGCATCATTTCTGGATATGTTTTAAATTCTACTTGTGTCATGAATTGCTTGAGATGGGATGCAGTCATTTGGCCCCACTTGTATGGTACAACTGGATCATAGTCGCCATGACATTGTAGCAACGGAGTATTTCTATTTCCTATTGCTTCCTAAGAAACATGTAATATTGTAAACATTATAATAGTATAATGTAATATGTTTCTCACTGAGTACGTACAGCAGGAAATTTTTGGTACAAAGGAAGCCAACACGATAAAGCTATAACACCAGCTAAAGGTTCTGGGAATGTAAGAGCACTATATATAGCAAGGGCACCACCCTGACTAAAACCACCAAGGACAATGCGTTTTGTAGGTATTCCTGCTGCTACTTCTTCTGCAATTAAAGTGTGCACCATTTGTGCAGCTTTGCGTATACCCTCCTCATCTTCAACTCCACTTGGATTCAATGTTCGTAAGTCAAACCTACATTTTATTAATGCGTAAATCTGTATTCAATGTTTCTATTTGTACTTCAGTATTAGTGAACAAAATATCTCAATGTATTGTATACAGTTATTTGTGGCTCACTCACCAAGAAGGCATTCTAAATCCTGCATTTATAGACACTGGCATTGTTGGTCTGAAATAATAAACCATTATGTATTTACTCTTCTTATTCTGTTCATTTTTTTTTTTTATTAAAGGTATACGTACGCTGTAGGACAAATAACTTTAATATGAGGTAATCGTACTGCATTCATTGAACTAGCCCATCCATGTCTACAAAAATAAAGGGTCCATATTATAAAAGCATACGACTATTGTATTATATAATACATTACATCTTACCCTGTATCTCCCAATCCATGAAGAAATATAAGCTATAACATAAAGTATGATAAAATTATATTATACAATATTAATAAAATTATCTAAATACATGATATTATTTACCTTTATCTCTTCAAATCTTTTCACGCGTATGCTCAATAAAAGCGTTAAATAAGTGAAGTATTCGTTGCTTTAAAAAGTCACTTCTAGTATCAAGACCTTTGAACTTTAGAAGACAATAGACAAGTTAACTACAGAATAGAAAATAGAAATCAAAAAAAAAATGTGGCACGTGACGTACAACGTTTACATGATAATGTTGTATCAGGAATAATCAACTTATGGTTAATTAAGAATGACTTTCAGTTATGTATAACCAAAAAGAAAGTATAACGAGAAAAAAATCTTATTTTCCGCTTACTGTGGCTGTATGTCTGGCTGTTGCTGCTATCACCACAGGGCTCACCGATGTCATTATTTGTCGCGATTTTGGACGGGCTACGAGATAAAGAATAAACTGTATAACAATTCGGTAAAAATTGTGAATATAGAATGGCGGAGAAATCTCCTTGTCGTCACTTAAAATCCCCCAAAGTGAACAGATGGGGGATAGATCAAGATAGACGGAAGTTATGCGCATGCTTTACGAGATCATTTTCAAACGAAAATCAAAGATTTTACACAAACCTATGGAACAGCCCATCGTCAATATGTGTTAATTGCAAAATGTTTCGTCACCATGAAAAATTCATGACAGTATTCAGAATAGCAAAACTTATTACGACGAACTAATCAACCGTCTGACTAAGAATGTGATAAATAAATTTCAGATTTGATATTTATGTAATGACGTCCATCAGGGAATAGATATTTCTAGAAAATGATGTTATTTTGAATTCAAACGTCTTTCCATTATGTAAATATTTACCCTAACGAAGCTTTTAGAACTTTGAGAAGGTTCGGGTCGTGTATAAACGACAATATACCAATAATTTCGAAATCTTGTACATTTCTCAAATCAACTAAACGGTCCTGTGAATTTTGTGTTTAAACGACCAAGCATTTTCATGCGGGAAGATCGATCGTTTTCGAAACGTTAATCAATTTTGTTTAATCCATGAGTGTTTGAAGTGTTCAACGGTACAGACAAAAAAAAAAATAACTCTGAAACGTACATTTTCAAAGATACGCGAACATCCAAATTTTCATATTTCAATTAAAGAAAGTCGCAGGAAGGATATGCACGGAGCGCCATCATGGAACATATTGACCAATCAGAGGCGAGAAGACTCGTTCAGTCGAGTCTGCGACGTATACATTTCGGAATGCAAGCAGTAGCCCAGTGAAAAGATGGTGCTCTGAATGGTCGAGACATTCGTTCCGTGGTCGTTCCTAGCTGATGAACCGTGGTTGCCAGCCATATTGTTTTACCGCAGTGTTTGTTTTGGTGCAGCCTGGTCGAGGTACGAAGAAATCCGCGGAGATCGGCACGTAGGAAGTCAGAACAGCTAGAGTGCGTTTAAAGGAACTATTCAGACGGTGCGCGTATACGGTGGTTTTGCTGTATTTTTCGGCATAATCATCGTTACTCGCGGGTTAAGCCCATAATTATCTGTGGGTGTCAGTCGTGAACCAGGACGGCGAACGGTAGAAATGGCCTGCGCCACTCTAAAGAGATCTTTGGAGTTCGACCCGGTGCATAGTCATGGACGTCCTAGTAAACGACGAAGATGCGTACCAATGTGTGTTTCTCCCGGTACATCGACGCAAGCCAATTCCAGGCCACAGAATCCCTCGCCTTTCGGCGAAGTAACCCACAAACTGACGCCTGGTAATTAAGTATAAGCTACGGCCATTTTTCTTTTTATTGTTTCTTTATTTTTCCCCTCCGTTTCTTTCTATTTCCTCGCCACAATGTGACAGAGAGAAGGGGTGGTTAGGAGGCCGTTCCAGCGATTTAAAACTTGATTTCGCGACGTTTAAAAAGGGGGCGGGGAAGGGGTAGGGCGTTTTGGAGGGGGAGACGCGTAAATCATATGGTAATGTAGTAACGGACATCGAGAAATCAACCACCCTTTTCATATTTATACCCGGTTTTATACATTATTTTTAACTTTATTTCAGTTTTTAGAAATCCTTTGTGAGATATTATTTATTTTCTATTGTGTCCGTTATAAATTTCAAATGAATTGCAATTTGTTTACAAGAATATTTAAGTTCTATGGAATATAAATTAAAAAGATAGACTGCTGCACAAATCTCCATTATTTTTATTACTGTTCTCAATATTTCCTCAAACTTACATTATCGAAAATGAATATATTTAATTGTTCTACAATGTATTTAATCTTTGATTTTTTTTATGATATGTTATAAGTAGTACAATTCGTTTGTTGTAAGTGTTTTAAATGAGCATTGCAAGTTCAATATCATTAATTGCCATACCACTGATCTAAGTGGGTCAAACATACTTCAATAAGTACGACAGGTATTAATATTAACCTTAAATGTTATATCAATAAAATAATAAATTCATTGGATTTATTAAACAAGATTCTTTGAAAGGTCAATATAAAAAATATAATCTTCTAAAGAGGCACAATGTTTTAAGTGCAAATAATGTTTCTTATGTATAGAAAAAATGGTTGCCAATATAAGAGAAGAAATTCGGAGACTGCATCGACGCAAACAATTGCATTTTAGTCCTCAAAACAATAGTGGTGATTCTTCAGACATGGAAAGTCCTGCTAGTCCTTCGAGCCCCTCAGCATGTGGTTCAAATTCATGTAGTTATAATCCTAGTGGAAAGGAAAAACCATTATTCACATTCAAACAGGTACAAAGATATATTTATTATTCAGAACATGATTTACATTAATAGTAACATTAGATTTGATCGAATAATTCATTATTTCAAAGGTCGGTTTAATTTGCGAGCGGATGCTCAAAGAACAGGAATCACAAATTCGAGAAGAGTACGATCAGATTTTGAACATGAAGTTGTCAGAGCAGTATGATGCTTTTGTGAAGTTTACGTACGATCAAATACAGAAACGATTCGAGACAGCTGCAGCACCGAGTTGTAAGTAATTTTTGCAGGTCATACACAACAAAGTGTCACTTACTGTTTCTAAATGTATTTCTACTTCTAGATCTATCCTAAAACAAGATTCTTATTTATAAGGACATGTTTCTGTGAAGAATATTAGGTGAGATATAGATACTAACTTTCCTAATTTCAACCGTTCGGACCAAGTGTTTAATTCCTTTCATGAATATAGTAAGATTTTCTATCGGTGTTTTCGTTTTTCTATCGTTATAGATTTCTACTGTGTGAGACAAATTTTGCTTGAAGTTTAAGTCGAGGTATGCAGCACCGCCTCGCTCAAGAAAACGTCTTTAAGAAAATTCATACTATGATTTACTTTAAAAAAAAAGAAAGCAAAAAAAAAACATAAAAAGTAAACGTGTCTGGTAAAAAATGAAAAAAAATTAGTAATGTAAGTTTAGTAGAGATCTCGTTGTTTATACTTTCGGGTGTAAACAGTGTTCTCATGGAAGGAGTATACCAATATTTCGCGAGTATGCAGTTAACTTCGTCAGAAGGTCGAGTAATACACTGATATTTAATACCGATACTGTATCAGTGTATCACTTGACCTCTTAATAAAACTAGTTCCAATACTACGCAAAGCGACGGGATACTTTTCTCGCAAAGAACGTAGCTTTACACCTAAAAGCCTCAACAGTGAGATCTGTACAACACCGGGCCGTGAAAGCCACAAATCTCTAGTAAGTTTAGTAGGTTTGCAGCGACAACAATGATACTACGAAAATCTACAGTGTATACTATTGAATTTACATGAACTAACAATATTTGTACTGGCTGATGTTAGAAATGCGCTGGTATCAGGGAACTGTACTAAGATTCTAGTTATGTACAGATATTAATACATGTAGAAGTTAAAATACAGTGCATAACTATGCTTAAAGTCAGGAGCCACAAAACTTGTTTGGCTCGCACAGGGCTTTGTAAACGTCACGTAATCGATTTAAATTAGTTAAATGTTCAGTTCTTGCACGTTATAACGGAGAACGTTACGAACTATAAAGTAAGAATGCGAATAACTTTTTTGTCGATTTGATGGTACATATTGTATTAGATATTGCTCAATTATATGCAATAACAAATACTCTTGTAATTTACACATGCAAAAATGTGCAAGTGAAATCTTTGGTGAGAAATACTGTGCATACAAAGAGAGATTATAAAACCCATATACCAGGGAAAGTTGTTTCCATGGAGTTTTAATTATATCTTAATTCTAGAAAGTTGAAAATGTATGTATTTAGACAAATTTATTTTTACTGTCGTGATATGAAATGTTTGTTTTATTTTATGTATGATTTATTGCATGTATAAATTACCATTGTGAGCAACATTCCCCAAAATGGATGTGTTCGAACTTAGGTAACACGCATTAACTCACAGAATTAAAATACATAAAATTCTTTAAATAGATGCAAAAATTTGGTCGTTTTATAGAGATTAAACAATTGGTTCTGATTATTTTAAAGTGCATCATTTATGTGTTATGAAAACTTACATTCATTTGGACTTGCCTATTTGTTAGAAAATTTTTTGTTAGTAAAACATCTAATTTAAAATACAAACACGAGGATTTGTAAAGAGGTCAAAGTAACATAGTCTATAGCATTGTACGAACGTATTGTCAGAAACGAGTATTTGAAATAAAGATTTCATAAAATTTGGCAAATATTTCTGTTCCCTGGTAGCAACGACTTTCTGTAGCATAATAAAACAGTGAATAATGAATATATTATACCTATACTTTAACTGTGCCTATTATTAGACATATTTATCGCGATAATTCTAGTATATATTACTTACTGATATCGATCGTAAAATTTTTAGTTTATAATCATTCGTTTTTATATCGTATCTCGTTTTCTTGCGCTGATTTTGGCTTTTTCATCCTTCTTTTTTTTATACGCAAAAAAAAAAAAAAAGAGTTCAAATAATAAACTATGATTAATGTGAATGTGGTTTTCTTGGTTGCTGCATGCGATTTTTGTTGTTGTTGTGGCATGAAATTTATTCATATCAAAAAAGCATCGAGCACCAAGAAACATTTATCTGAAGGAGTCAGTACATTACAAATTTGTGTTATTACTATTTAAGAAGTATATATCGAAAGAACAATTGTTTCTCCATCTGTGAAATTACATTCTGAAGAGGGGCATTAACAATTGCCTTATTCATTCACAAAAGGTGTCTTTCAGTTACCAGAACGATTTGGGAACACAATACTAAATAGTGTTCGCACAATAGTGTGTACATAATATACCAAGTGTTTATGGACTGCTAAATGTGAAAAGAGAAAGGAATACAAGTCGTTTTATTTACTAATAATAAGTAATACCTACTTGAGAAACAATAGATATTGATTACCGTTAAGAAAAATTTGCGAAAAGATACACCGAAGTGATTCCTCGATCATTCAGGGGATTTAATTTCAATTAAAATACCTCCATATTATATTATGTAAGCACTTATTATCGAAATAAATACAAGTCCAAGACTGATCACGTATATTTCTTTATTTTAGCCTCTGAACGTGTAATTGCACATGCGTGTAAACAAAATACTTCTATTTAGAAATTTAAGCAATTCGAATATTCTGTAATCTTAATACTTGTTTTATGTATATTTACAATGTATTATTCCATGCACTAAACGAAACGATAAACAAACTATTGCACTACTTTTTAAATTTCATCACCTTCCTGGTTGGATATGCATGAGCTACTGAGTTAGTTCTCTGCAGTGCACGCAACAAAATTCATTACATGTGTGTTCTAATCTTATTAACCAACTTGTGTAATAAAATAATGCAATTAGTAATATGGCTTCGAGTAAAGAAGCCCCTCCGAGACTATATGAGGTTCCCTGTTCATGCTGGGAGACTGTCACTTCTGGGCGGGAAACAAACTTCGGCTAATTCATTTGATTCGATAAAAAAAAGTGCCAAATGTTTCCTCTCTTGCTTTTGGCTTACGTTGTAGCCATCAAAGTATTCAAAAAAACTACTCCAAATGGTAAGTGATAGAAAGCTGATGCTTAAGGTATCACAATACTCTATAGTATACAACTATTTTAAAATCAATCGTAATAAAAATGTTTCTATATTAATTACAGGAAAGCTTACAGTTTACCTTGGAAAACGGGACTTCATAGACCACTTAGATAGCGTAGATCCCATTGATGGCATCGTTGTTGTTGAAAATGATTATCTTCAGGGGCGAAAAGTTTACGGACAGGTAAAAAGAAACATCTGTCTTATTTATAGCCAGTATTTAAAAACGTTGATGCAGTAGATAATTAATTGATACATTGTGAAGGTGACGACAGTATTCCGCTATGGCCGCGAGGAGGACGAGGTCATGGGTGTCAAATTCAGCAAAGAACTTGTCTTATGTCGCGAGCAAATAGTGCCGATAAAGAAGGAGAAGCAAGATATGACACCCGTTCAAGAACGACTTTTGAAACGACTTGGAGCTACCGCCTATCCTTTCTTGTTCCAATTTCCACAGAACTCTCCCAGCTCAGTCACACTACAACCTGGCGATGACGATCAAGGGAAACCACTGGGTGTTGAGTACACTGTTAGAATATATGTGGGGGAACACGAAGAAGACAGGGTAATATGTTAATTTAAATTATACGTTTATTTAGTAGAATAAAAAAAACATATGGAAATGAACTTCAATTTCTATGCAGGGACATAAAAGATCATCTGTTGCATTAGCGATCAAAAAGCTACAATACGCTCCGCCCACGAGAGGACGTAAACTACCTAGCTCACTGGTTTCCAAGGGATTCACTTTCTCTCAGGGTAAATTGAACCTTGAAGTTACACTTGACAGGGAGATCTACTACCATGGCGAAAAAGTAGCTGCAAACGTTATAGTTACCAACAATTCTCGAAAAGCAGTGAAAAATATCAAGGTACTTAAACTGTGTTTAGCAACCTTAGAACGATATGTTAGATCAAATACTAATATTTTACATTTTACAGCTGTTTGTGGTGCAGCATTGCGAGGTAACGATGGTTAATACTCAATTCTCTCGAAACGTGGCCAGCTTAGAAACGCGCGAAGGATGCCCGATTACACCTGGCGCATCTTTTACAAAGCAGTTCTATCTTGTTCCACTGGCTAGTAGCAATAAAGATCGACGTGGTATTGCTCTCGATGGACATCTAAAAGTATAGAAAAAGTAACTTCGTTAAAAACAAATTCATTTTAATTGATTCTGTTTTTATGAAATCTTTTTGTGTATTTGATACACAGGACGATGACGTGAATCTCGCATCTTCGACTATGGTTGCCGACGGTAAAGCACCTAACGAGGCTATGGGTATTGTTATCTCGTATTCTCTGCGAGTGAAATTGAATTGTGGTACCTTGGGCGGTGAACTAGTTACAGATGTTCCGCTTAAATTAATGCATCCAGCTCCAGGTAGGCAAACTTAAATAATGGAAATAGTATAAGAATTCGCTTCTATATTTATATTATAACGCCAGCTCAGACCTCTCAGAGTCTTACACCAGCAAGTGTGTACATTTTACTTTTTATTGTAGGAGTTGCAGAAAAAGAAAAAGCTACTTTGAAGAAGAACAAAAGCGTCGACAGGACACGCTATGAGAATTCTTGTTATTCTAATGACGATGACGATAATATCGTGTTCGAAGACTTCGCTCGTCTGCGTTTGAACGAGCCAGAATAAATCTTTTTCAATAAGGCAAATATTTACTTCAAAATAATCTTAGATTAATCATACTTTATAATACATTTAACTCAGAACTTGGTAGAATAATATTAAATTAGTAGAATATAATAAAAAAAACAATGTATATATGTAGAATGCGTCGTTTCTAGGATTCTTTTGATGTAAATTATGCTGAAAAATTAAAGGGAGAATAAAAAGGTATAGAAGGTAATGGGTTACAATATCACTATATGTACGCAGTGACCTATGGAAGTAAATAAATATTAATATAAGAAGAGAAATGTAACAAAAAAAAATACAAAAAAAAGCGAAAAGTATCATACAAAAATGTATATCGCTTTAGAATTTCTATCCGATAGTGGTGGTCGGTTAGAAATTCACATGAAGGCGAACAAAAAAAAAAATGATTCCAAGTAAGCTTTATAAATAATTTATATTCGGCTATGTTTAAAACTTTCCCGCCTTACCAGAAGTGACATGTATGCTATTAATTTTGATTTATTATGATTATAACGTGTCTGTAAATGTTAATTTATTACAAACCGATGGCATTGTTGAGTTATAATCTGTATGTTAGAAGAAAAATAAAAACATTGCAAAATACGGACGTCTGTGTTGCAAAGCATTCCTTGGAAACATTGAAATATAGGACCATCACAAAAGTATTTGAATGATGAAAAATATTCGATATAAACATTTATTTAAAATGGCGAAGTATAAACACTAAATGTTACTGCTTAATAAAAATATTTATTTTAAAGTTAATATATTTTCAATATTTTTAAACGCTTAAACGTATCGTTCGGGAGCATTTAAATACTTTCGCGAGCCTCTGTATTCGATTAATCGAATCAAATGAAACTCGATCTTTTACCAAACCCAGAAAATTATTTATTTTATGACTATACAAAATAGTATAAGGATTTCAATAACCGTTCAGTCTTGTGACACATTGTTAAGTATTTAACAATGTTGACTGTATTTTGTTTAATCATACATATGAGAATAGTATTCTTGATATGCCTGAATGTATGCTTCTTTCTCTATAGGTGTCATTTCCGCGATTAATGTGTCGTTCACATCTGCAATGGCAACAGTTTTTCCCGCGACAGTTACAGTTGGTACAAGGTCATCATCTTCGGAATCCATTGTTTCTACATCTCCTAAACGATTTCAACAAATTTATATGCTTTTTCAATGTATACTAACTTGAAACTGGTTTATAAGGGCCATACCTGTATCAATGGCTTGCATTTCAGCAACTTCTTCGTTATCGCTACTATCACTAGATTCTTGAGGTAATACAGATTTTATAGCGGCTGCAGCATTTGTTCCTCCCTTCTTCTCATGAGCCAGCAATACGGACATAATATCTTCACCCTGTTTATTATTCGTCATAGTAGTATTAGTGGCAGTGGCTGCAGCTTTATCCAAAATGTTCTCTTGTGTGTTGACTCCATCAGGCTGAATACAACAACTATTAGTGATCAATCTTGATAAACAATTAAAATGGTGAAAGTAGTCATGAATATACCTGTGAGTCAGAGTTGATAACTGTACTTTCCATCATCCAGATTGGTCTTTCCTTCCTTCTGTTTGCTGCATTATCGTCAGCGGATTCATCGCCGATCGTAACATCTACTCTGGTGTCTTCTACCATAAAACCTGCCGACCTTGTAGCTTCTCCAGACCATTGTTCACCAGGTGCTCTTAGACTACTTGGTTTCCTTGTGTCGATACTAGAGACAAACAAATCATATGCATGACAATTTGTTTACAAGGTTAGTAATTTAATTAAAAATACATACCCCTTAATGGTGTTTATATCAACTGGTTCTGGCTCTAATATTTCAGGTGCCAATTTGATACCTTCCACTTCCCTTAATAAAATGTAAAGAGGTTCCAACTGTTCATTAAACTTGGCTAGTAACAGCCTTGAGTCTTTCTTTGGAAGGGCAGACTGATCTTCTTCTACTACTTCGCGACAAAATGTACATCTAAATTCACCAGTGGCCATATCAAACAATTGATCTGCCTATATTATTTTACATTAATAAATATCTTGCGGTCAATTATTTTGCAACAGTGTTTGTAAAATCATTCACTTACCTCAAGATCGGTAAAAGTTTTCAAACAATTTGTACATTTAAAACTTGCCCTACTGGTAGCATCTCGTTCTTCGGTTTCCATTCTTTTCCTCATTAAGTCTAACTTATATTTTACTACATTTACAAAAGTCTAAAACACATATATATACATATATATATATATTTCTTTAATAGGTAAGCAATAGAAGTCATATTCTTTGTTAATACTTTACCTTATAGTTAATAAAATAATAGTTGACTTTTTGTGCTTTTCCATCAGACCCAGTTTCCATTTTCAATCTTACTTGTATGAATTTATCATTACGCAATGTAGATATCCTAGCTCTTAACATTTTACGTTCAAATTTCAAAAGTTCACAGATGTCATCTTCTTTCATACCTGGACGCGCAAAACATATAATCTCATTAAATGAAAAATAATTTGATATATGTTATTTAAAATGTAATAATATTGTATTTCATTTATGACACACTTACATGGATTTCTAACCAACATATCAACAATCAATGCATCTTCTATTGTATAAAATCCACGTACTACTAAACGTGCTAATTGCTTTAAACTACTGGGAACTTCTGTAACAAGTCGTTCTTCACCACTCATTTTTCTTGTGGTTACATATAATAAAATATCAGGATTACTGAAAATTGTTGAAAAGAAAATGTAATTAATTCACATTGCATGTAAGTACATTATAAGTTATTATAGCAGTTTGTATAATTTAAAATTATTTATTTTTACAATTCATTTTATAAACTGTTGGCGTTATATTAACTTAAAAAAAAAAAATATTAGCATAAGATTTATTACAATCCATTTTATTAGATTTCATTCTATCCCTAATATGAAATACTAACCTTTAAAGTCGCATAAACAGTACTTTTATCACAAAATATCTTGAATCAGTGTTAATAGTAGTAAATTAAAATATACATCATAATATTATGCGTGTGTCCTTGTAAAATAAATAAAAAACAAAAGGACAAGATTCATTATTCCGTCGATCGTTTAAGAACGATAAGATACCGTTCCGACGGACGCTTGTTTATAACTTCAATAGTTTTTAGGTTATGTATTCGTGTTACAAAATTCCCAACAGATTATCTGTCAAATGACAGGGCCATAAAAACAACAGAATACAGTTTCCTATAGTTTGGCAAACATTATCAATGGCTACGATAGATAAAGTTAAAATTATTGTTGTCGGTGATTCTGGTAAGAATGCATTTCAAACAATTATACAATACAATATATATTTATTAGTATTGTTATTTGTACTTTGACAGTTACTACACGAATAGAATCAGAATTGCTATAATGTATATTGTTTCAAATCAATTTACTGTTTAATTTATTATTGGATTCAGATATTATATTTTGCTTGTTTCATATTCATTTTTATAATAATATTTTTAGGTTATGTGATCAGTATATCTTTGGTGATCTTTTATATACTTGTTAAATATTTTGTCGTTTTTCATTTATAGGTGTTGGAAAAACATCATTGACAAATATAATATGTCAACAACAGCCTATTAGTAATCCTTCATGGACCATAGGTTGTTCTGTAGAAGTTAAATTACATGAATATAAAGAAGGAACACCTAATCAGAAAAGATATTTTATCGAATTATGGGACATTGGTGGAAGTCAAAGTCATAAAAATACAAGATCTGTTTTCTATAATCCCACTAATGGTATAAACCTAATATGTTTAAAATAGTGTAATAATTAATGAAATTCAGGAACTTAATAATAGCAAATCATTCCTAATGATTTAGGTATAATATTGGTCCATGACTTAACAAACAGAAAGTCACAGCAGAATCTTCAAAAGTGGCTTGAAGAAGTTTTGTGTAAAGATAGTAATTACACAAAATCAAAACCTTTTGATGATTTTGATCCTGAAAAATTTGTAGGATCTACTCAGGTAGCAATAATCACTAGCAGTTTAAGTGTAGAATTTTGTGGAAGAATATGTTGTATAAAGAAAATTCTTGTTCACAGATACCAATTCTAGTTGTTGGTACAAAATTAGACCTAATTGCAGAAGTAAGATCAAATATCCATAGACGTTCCTCGACTATTGCAGAAGAATGTGGCGCTGATGAGATTTTTTTGGTATGTCTGCTATTTAGTTATTTAAGATTGTATGGAACGATATTTGGTTTCAATTGACTCTGTTTTTGTAGGACTGTCGTCAAATGAGATCATTAGCTGCTGGTTCTAGCTCATCTGTCAAATTAAGCAGATTTTTTGATAAAGTTATTGAAAGGCGTTATTATTCGTCAAGAGAAGGCATTAGTCCTGATAAACGAAGGCTACCAATGTACACTCCATACAGTGCAAAAGTTTATCACAATGACTGAAAATTTTTAAATTCTTTGGATCTACTGTAAGGTGCTATAATGAATGTCATTCAACGATATTCATAATGAGAGAAATCCATTTTGCCAATATTTAAAAAAAATAATGTAGCATTTTTAATTAAAAAAAGAAAAAGAACTGTCAAAATTTACAAAGCTATGTTTATTAGATTGAACAAAATTTTCATACAATATATTTTTGATAAAACTTATATTTACAAAAGCAAAACCGGACAGTTATAAAAGAATCAGATATTCATTAATATATTTGTTTTTTGTTTATTACAAAGTTGAGACCCTTCGAATTCGGGTGTTTTTACGCCTGTATACTCTCGATTATGCTACTATTTCAGTGATAAAATGGTCTTAAAAATTATTATTTTAAACAATTAATATTAAAGAAACTGTTAAATACATAGTACGCTCTAGTTTATTATTATCTGTTTATGTAAATACCCATGTCACGTGTATAAAGTATTAATTTGATTAAAATTGTAAAAAAATAAGATGCATTTCGTCTGTTCCAATTTTCATGGAACTACGCGATTTCTTCTTTGTGTGTTAGGTTTTATGAGTCTATCGTCACTCTTATGAACGATCACTAATAATAATGGCGGGATTAAATATTCCCATAATTTTTTTTTTTTTGATTACGTCACACTGTAGCGCGGGATAGAGAAAAATTTCAAACATTCAATCTGGTTTCGTTATCGATTTTTACTCATCGATATCAAGATAGTGCAAACGTATGGATAATAATGTGATTATGAAAAAATGAAGAGAAAATTCTACACGTTTCAGATGTATGTACATATTTGATTAATTAGTTCGTTTATTCGAACATTATGCTTTATACTTACCTTTCTAAATTTCCTAGTGTGAGTGTTCTATTCTGAGGTAGATACATATACATATTGCATTTTCGTACGTAATATAAAGGTTAATGCGCGTACCTGATCGTCTGTCAAACGTAACTTACATCGAACATGTTAATATCTCTAATCGTATTTATTTGAAAGTTTGACCGCATCTAGTCAATCTAGTCAATTTAATTCGGTTATTTCAATTAAATGTAAATTTCCCCAAATATTACGCTACAAGAGTGAAATTGCACTTTTTATTGACTAATCATTAGCACGTGCATAAGTGATATGTATAACAAATAATGACCTTTTTTTTTTAGGACATTTCCTTCTATAATGACTTGTTTGCTCCCAAAGAAATTTCCAAAGCACAGCTGTCTTTCAAATTTGCTGGCACAGTTTCAACCTCTAGGTTTTGTACAGAAGTATGGATATGCCACTGATGTTACTTTGGACAAGGAGGGACCCATTGCTCTTTTAAAGGCTAAAGTGGCTAGAGGAGAATTAATGAACGATGATCATCAGATGAAAGTTGCTGAAACTTTGCAAGCTATTTATGAAGAAACAAATGGATACAAGCCAGAAGAATCTGGTCTATTAGACAAATGGCTTGGTAGAAAAAGGCCACAACCACCAAAAGGATTATATCTTTATGGAGCTGTAGGTGGAGGTAAAACAATGTTGATGGATCTTTTCTATGAATGCTGTCAGGTAGATCGTTTTGCAGTTTCTGTAAGTAGTGCACATGGGGAGCCAAACCTTCTGTTGGTTATGGATATGACAATTCGTAATATTTTTCAGAATAATTCGCACATATAATAGAATAATTGCTGCAACAAAGGGTTTACTTTATATAACAAAGGAAATAAAGAAAACTCTTATCTATGATAAAGGTACTACATAATGGCTTTCCATATGCAGTACAATATAAAATATATCTTCTAAATTAGGAACAAACAAATAATTGTTGCGAAACATATTACTCCAGATTGAAAACAAGCGAAGGGTTCATTTTCATTCTTTTATGGCGGATGTACATAATAGAGTTCATGAAGTAAAGAAAACCATTGTTCGAGATGTTAGCAGTACAAAGCTTCAACCATTCGATCCGATACCACCAGTTGCCAGAAGCATCACCGAAGAGGCTTGGTTAATTTGTTTTGATGAGTTTCAGGTTTAAAAATGGAACATATAATTGAATATAGAGGATTCAAACTAACATACATTAATAGAAAATATGTATATCACAGGTAACTGATATTGCAGATGCAATGATATTAAAACGATTATTTACGGAATTGTTTAGCAATGGTGTAATAGTAATTGCAACCAGTAATAGAGCACCGGATGATTTATACAAGAATGGATTGCAAAGGGGAAATTTTGTTCCGTTTATACAGATATTAAAAAATTATTGCATTGTAAATTCCTTAGATTCGGGTATAGATTATAGATTGAAAACTGGACTTAGCGATGAAAAAATTTATTTCATGTATGTAAAACTATTCATAGATAGAATATACAATGAAACATTTGCTTATATAGATAAAATAAATTAGATAATTATTATAGTAAAGGAAAAGATGCGGCAAGTAAGAATGTAGACAAGGTGTTTAAGTATCTATGCTCGAAGGAGAATGATATTGTGAGACCACGTACCATTTGTATAAGAGGTCGCAATGTTAATTTTCAAAGAACTTGTGGGCAGGTGTTGGATTCCACGTTTGAAGAGTTGTGTGATAGAGTAGGTTCTTTAATATCTTCTTCTACTTTCGATATCATGTGTATTTTTATATGTATATCTCTCTTGTATATTCTTACATTTATTTGTAGCCCCTTGGTGCTAGTGATTATCTAGAACTAAGTCAAGTATTTCACACTGTGTTTATAAGAGATGTTCCACAATTAGATTTTCGATTTAAATCTCAAACTAGAAGATTTATTACATTAATTGATACATTGTATGATAATAGGGTAAGATCATGTCTTTAACGCTTGATTTTGAGTAATTAAATAACTTCAGGAATCTACCATGTAAATGAACAATTTCTTAGGTACGAGTTGTTATATCTGCAGCTGTACCGCATACAAAACTGTTTGTGGCAGAAGGTAATACTGATTATACAGATGAAAAGAGAATGTTAATGGATGATTTAAAAATATCGCATGGTTCTGTAAGTTAAATGGTATTAGTTGTTTTTAAATGTTGATGCATCGTATTATAATTTTATAATATTTATAGGATGATCATAAATCTAATCTGTTTACCGGGGAAGAAGAGCTCTTTGCCTTTGATCGTACTGTGTCACGACTTTCAGAAATGCAAACTGCACAATATTGGGAACAATGGCAACATCATAGATGATATTAATTCAGATTAGCAGAAATTTCAGTAGTTCCTTTTTCTAGTACATTTATCTAAGTCAATAAATTATAAATTCTTAGTTAAATCTATTGTAACTAAGTATTATGTTAATATGAAAATGTTCATTTTCTTAGGCACGGTACTTGAAATTTATGCAAAATGTTTTAAATAATTTAAAGTATTTATAATATTATTTACTTCTGTTTTAATATTTATTTACTCTAATATTTATTTGTGTATAATGTACAGCAATAAAAAAAACTATTGAATTTCATTCGCTACTTTCACAATTCGTTATTGCAAAATAAGTGAAACGTATTAAACAATTTCTGACGATAAACACACAACGCGTGTCAAAGATATGCATGAAATTAATAAATTACGTTGATGATTTAAGAAAATAAAAAAATTGTTATCTATCGAAATACATCAACATGATAATATACCGCGAAACTACATGGTTACAGTTTCATTATTAAATCGATTAATCGATTCAATTAAGTAGGGACAAATAACGACTGATATATTCTATTGTGCAAAATTCATTTGCAAATAGATTAATTTCTAACCAAAATGTACCATATTCGCAGCATCCTGCTTTTATCGTTTAATATTAATCGTTTTATTACAAATACACACAAAACTTACATCTTGCATCATATCACGTGCAAATAATCACAAAATTATAAACGACTGTATTGTTATCAAATCGTACTTTTCAACGGTATCTTCCATAAAATTCGTGGCACAGGCACTTACGTTTCTTTCCCATTCTGTCTCACTATTGCGCACCAGTTTCGCTTTCTTCGGTAATAATTGAGTTAGACGAAGGACACTTTTCAATTATTCATAATAGATACTATTTATTCCACTACAATGGATATTCAAAAACTGGCTAATGGTACGTGATTTAATGTTCCACATTAAACGTTACAAATTGCTTTTTATACCAAACATTAAATTTGATTAAAATTGTATTTACAAGTACATTTTTAACTTTTATGCGCATTAATTAAATTTAAAAAATGTTTTAATTCCTTCATTTCAGTTACAATGAATTTTGATCAATCAATGATAGATGAGAAAGTTAATTCTGTACGTTCCAAAGTTAATGCACTGGAAAAAGATACTAAAACTAGTTGGTTAATGAAAGCAATAAGCTATATAGACTTAACTAGTTTAGGAGGGGATGATACACCTATGAAAGTCAAAGCTGTTTGTGCAAAGGTAACCCTAACTATATACAGTTATGCTTGAATGTATTTGTAACAATGTGTTGATATGTATGTGAAATTCTATACATTAATATATCATTTTAGGCTGTTAATCCCCTTCAGTTATCACCTATACCAACAGAATCTTTACATACTGCAGCCCTATGTGTTTATCCTTTGAGACTTGCAGATGCAATGGCTTCGTTAGAAGAACTTGATAAAGAACATAAAGTTGCTATAGCTACTGGTAAGTAACGCACTTCTTTGTTAATTTAACACAAATTGTAGCATAATACAATACACAAAATATTATTAATCTGCGAGCAGTAGGTGGAGGATTTCCATCTGGACAATTTCCATTAGAAACTCGTCTCAGAGAAGTAGAAATAGGTATTGAAAATGGTGCAGATGAGATTGATATTGTCATCAATCGACCATTGGCTATAATGCACCAATGGCAAAAATTATACGAAGAGTTGAAATTATTTCGTACAGTTTGCGGCAATAAAGTGTGTTTGAAAGTTATACTTGCCACTGGAGAGTTAGTTAACTTGGAAAATGTATATAAAGCATCTATGGTGGCAATGATGGCTGGAGCTGATTTTATTAAAACATCTACTGGAAAGGAAACAATAAATGCAACTTTACCTGTTGGAATAGTTATGTGCAGAGCAGTTAAAGATTATCATGCGGCAACACAGAAAAAGGTACATGGTTTTGTCTTGAACAAAATACAACGAATCATGTTTAATTTGTCGGATATTTACTATTAAGTTGCATTATCTTCAGGTTGGTTTCAAGCCTGCTGGAGGTATTAAAACTGCACAAGAGGCATTGGAATGGATAATGTTGGTGCAAATGGAATTAGGAGACGAATGGTTAACCAAAGATTTATTTAGAATTGGTGCATCCAGTTTATTGGATGATATTGTTGGAACAGTATGTTCAAAGTAATTTTGTCTCATTTATGCAATGCAATGCTTTTTATATTTTTATATGAATGCATGTATATAACCTTTATAAATGCACACTGGAATTTTATATTATTTTTATATGCATTTCAATAAAAAGAAAGCTGTACGTTATCAAATATTTCCCATATTTCCTACCAAATTAAGATCAATTTTTAAAATTGTACACATCACAATATGAATTGAACAAATCGACAAATTGACGAAAGTGAATACGACGAACGAACAGTCGAAAAATTATCACTAGTAAATAGTATTGTGATGTAATTAGGTATTAATCTCAAGTATTATAATGTATCTGGCGAAGAAGCAATTTGTAGTATATTTTAAAATGTTCCACACGAAAATTTAAACGCATCTATCCGAGTTCCATATTGTTCAAACTGATACACAAGATGTTTTAAGAACGATTTAACCAAATAACTTCAAATTATGATGTTATTTAATAAAATTATTTTTTCTTATTTGTTACTGAACCGAAATAAAATTTAAAAAACGATGCTTTCTTATACCTTCAAGAATGTCGAGAAATGTGAAATTGAAACTCTCTCTATCAAGCGGCGCCATTTTGTTAATTTTTGTTCTTTTTCCATAACAATGGGTTCAGTATCCTACAAATTTCATATAGATTAGAATTTAACTTTGATCGATGACTTTATAGTACTTTATGAGGTGTGAAAATACATCCAGTGAAAGTATGTTTTCTCATTATGCTACAAGACAAAGCGCACAGACATTACTGTACATCGATTTCCTAGCTATACAAATTCCAAAACTACAACGTACGTAATCGATAAAATCATGTATAGAATTTGATTCAGATCTACATTATACTTTTCTTAAATTTCCAAGTATGTACAATATTTCGAAGATTTAAAATGAGACGATTTCTTAACCGACTGGCAATATTTTGGCGCCATTTTGACTACAGTGGCGTCGCGAGGATTTCCTGATGTGTTTTGAGACACCGCGAGTTCGTGCCTTTTCCGTTTAGAAAACCAAGATGGTAAGTTTGTCACGCACTGTCAATATAAAATCCATTCGCATCGAATGTACGATGCGTCGTAGACGGTCAAATTAAATTAAAATGTAAACTATAAAAACCGGAGTGAATATTGATGGATATATAATTCCTTAAACCCATCGTATTTTTAATCGGACAGAAAATTGGTTAGGTTGTGCGAATACGGTTCATTTTGTTGTCTCGTACGTTTATCAATGCGTCGTATGAACACTTGTTGACATAATTTTTTTTATAAAGATAAACGTCCGATGTGATAGATGCGGTTAATGCATCTCGTTTAAAAATTCCAGTGTAATTAGCGAAATAAAACAAGAAACATAAATGGTAATCTAACCTAAAAATACAGTGCGGCAATGTAGAGTGAATTAGTCGATGTCTTCGACATTGAATACATTTCGTTGAGTGCGTATGCTGCTGGTTTAGTGTTAATAATGAAAATGTTTTAAACATTTTCAGGCTCGAGGTCCAAAGAAGCATCTGAAGCGTCTTAATGCGCCGAAAGCATGGATGTTAGACAAATTAGGGGGTGTGTATGCTCCGCGTCCATCTACAGGACCTCATAAACTCAGGGAATCACTCCCTCTTGTTATTTTCCTTCGTAACAGACTGAAGTATGCTTTGACTAACTGTGAAGTAACAAAAATTGTGATGCAACGTTTGATCAGAGTTGATGGCAAGGTCCGTACTGACCCCAATTATCCTGCTGGTTTCATGGGTAAGTGTACATGTCATATTTTTTCCGACTGTATGAATGGTGCCATATCGAAGCTGCAATATCTTTTAAATGGATACTTCCAGTCAAACAATGGCAAACATTAAACAAAAGCTCTTTACTTTGGTCACAGATCGAGTAGTATATTCTTTCTGTATCACCCAGAAAGTGCACATTCTTTTCCTATGTATTCAAATATTTTTAAAACGTAATACTAGAAATAAAGGCTAAATAAGCTTTCGCTCGTTTCAGATGTAATCACCATTAAAAAAACTGGTGAATTCTTCAGATTGATTTACGACGTTAAGGGACGTTTCACCACCCACAGAATTACTGCAGAAGAAGCTAAGGTATTTATCGGTGACACGAAAATATAGTTTGGATTGTTTTCTGGTTTGATTAAAAAGTTAATTTTTTTTTTTGCAGTACAAATTGTGCAAGGTGAAGCGTGTTCAGACTGGACCTAAAGGTATTCCATTTTTGGTAACGCACGACGGTAGGACCATTCGTTATCCAGATCCTCTAATCAAGGTTAACGATACCATTCATTTGGACATAGCAACTAGCAAAATTTTGGACTCTATTCGATTCGATTCAGGTATAATATTTTTATTTCTATACATGGTTTACCTGTAAATATGTTTGTGGGAAAGGCCGCGAAATATTAATTCTTATGTTACAGGTAATCTTTGCATGATTACCGGTGGTAGAAATTTAGGGCGTGTTGGCACGGTCGTTAGTCGCGAGCGTCACCCCGGATCTTTTGATATTTGCCACATAAAAGACTCGCAAGGACACACTTTTGCTACAAGGTATTTTTCATCGATAATTATTTATTCATATAGTAATATACAGTCCATTTAAAATTTTGCAAAAAGTTTGAATTAATTTCTATAGTGGCCATAATCGAAGCTACGGTAATGCGTAATAAATATTGTAGTCAAAAGTTGGCCAAAATGAAGTTCCTTTATATTGGTCACTGTATGCTTTTACGTAAGCTTCTCAGTATTACCCATTTAGGAAACAAAAACGCTTTAAAATTCATTTTATATTACTCGAATGCATCAGAGATTATAACGAATCGTTTTTATAGGTTGAACAATGTATTTATCATTGGCAAGGGTACGAAACCGTACATTAGCTTACCAAGGGACAAAGGTGTTAAGCTTTCGATTGCCGAAGAGCGCGACAAGAGGTTAGCAGCGAAGGGCGTGAATTAATGTACATTTTCAAGAAAACTTTCAATAAACCGAGAATTTCTTGGTGAATAAAAAGACGTGCTTTCACCATCATCCTACACAACAATTATCTTCGCACAGGACCCACATATCCAGAACACATTAAAGAGACAGAACACGAATGCGGTCTCTTTCATCGTAGTATTTAGCGTAATTACATTAAAATCTATCTTGCTATTTAAAAAAATATCATTAACGGTTTGGCTGTTGAAACTGCGTTAGATGAACAGAGCGGCGGTAGAAAATCAAAGTTCAATATAATTCGTGTAAATATCACGATCCTTTTAAATCGCGTTCGTAAAAATGATTAAATCGTCGAAGCGTATCGTGCCGAATATTGCGTTAAAGACGAAGAAAAAACAGAACGCTCGAAAGACAAGGATTTTTGTTTTTATAATCGATCGTCACTTTCCTGGCAGCCAAATTTCGGTAGTCAGTTCTAGCGCTTTTCGCAGCATAGCGTTACATTGTTCGTCCCTATATTTCTCATTTTTCTTATACACTTCTTTGGCAGCTTTCAGATACCTGAAAAAAAAAAAACAAAGTCGACGAGTTGAACAATTGTCGTATCCCGACGTTGTTTAAACGCATATAATCAGGGACCGCTACTTCTGTATACAAAGAACCGTGTTCTTAATGTCCTTCTCCACGACGCGCGAAGACTCCGACACCGACGACGGCGCATACTCCGTCGCATTGTCATCGTTCGTTCGAGTCAACGGGTAGATGCGTACCCATCCACCTTCCTTCACGCATGGTGTACTCCAGTCCTTGCCATTGTCCCACACCGACGTTTTATCGTGATTTTCTGGATTGGTGCCCCGGAAACCGCGAGGAATATACTTGTCCACCAACAAAGGATTGTAACGGGACCACGCGTTCGAACAATCGTGCAGAGATGATCGTCTGAGCTGACGATCAAAATTATTTTATTAAATACAAATGCAAAGCATTCAAGGGTAGACAAAATCACGTGTCCGCGACAGGACCAAAATGGCGTAGAGACAAACGACATTCATACATACAGTAGGTTGAAGTTCCGTGCATAAGTTTAGAAAACCGTCGGTCTCCCTGCCAGTTTTGGATTTCCTCTTCGCGGTTCGACCTCCACAAAACTTGGAAGACACTTCCACCTCGTCGTCGACCGGGCTCGCCGACCATATCTTGAATAGAGAGAGTCCAGTGTTGCATACCGGAAGACCTAGTAAATCGAACAAATCGTGCAGCAGCGGTTTCTTCACCTCCGAGTCGATCTCGCAGTCGTTGCTCAGAGCCGGGCTGACGTTGACCTGTCGCAGCACCGATTATCCACGCGTTAGGGACGATCGCTTTGGTCTCGTAACGAGATCGGTGTATTTGTTCACCTCGAGTAGCCACGGTTTCAAATTCTTGTCGATCAACACGTCGAACCCGAAGAATTCGAAGCAATTGGAAGATTTAGGTATACCCGCCGCTTGGCTCAGTATCGTTAGACTCACTAAACAGGAGATCCTCTGCCAGAGGAACCAGTCGAAGTAACCCGTCTGCTCGAAATACCTTCTCAACTGTTTGAACGTCCATTTGCAACCTATGAAAATGAAATTTAGCTTTCGAAATAAATAGCTTTCGAGAGCCTTCGAAAACAGTTTCAGAATGGTTTATCGTACCAGAACCGACGCGTTCCTTCTTCTCCGCGTACCCTGGACCCAGCTTGTTCAGAGAGAAATTGGTCAAATGCCGGAAGGGATCGTTCAGGTGTTCCAACGAGAATTTCTCCGTGGCGAAACGCGTCAGGCCTTCCTTGTACAAGTATATCGTCAAAGGACGATACGAGGGTACGCAGACGTACAATCGTAGATCGAACTTGTAGCCGCCGATCAGCAGAGGATTCTCGATGTACCTTTGCACGATCGTCGTGTTGTCGTACGTAAGGTCGCTCAGTTTCTGAAAAATATTCTTTTATTCTGTCCCTGTCCGTGGCGAGATCGTTCGATACGATGAACGATATGCTCACGCGAAAGAGGAAGATCCCTTTTCCTTGGCTCTGACCGACCGGCTTGCAGATCCAGATCCTGTCCTCATCGCAACGGCTGCATTCCTCCGCCACTTTCGTGTATTCCGACGGTAAGTTATACCCTGCTGGACTATCATAACGCGTTTCAATTTTTCTAACGATCGAACACTCGTTACAGAGATCAAGATCGTTACCTGAAGTCGTAGATCGAGCCGTGCATTTTCTTCATGCATCTCAGGTGACGGATGAGATTGTCTTTTCTGCAGATCGAGCTCCCTTTCGGAATTCTATTGACGAACTACGAGATCGATAGCTTAGACGTCTTAACTAGGGAATGATTATTGCAAGAACAAAGCAGGTGCAACAATTAAGGTAACATTATGCAATTGTTTTACCAATTAATTTCTTATCTGATAAGACTTTACGAGTAAACTTTTAGGCGAACGAAAGGACCCGATGTATCGTTACCTGCCAGGGCAACGGCCTGTAATGAGGCGAAGGGAAACCGCCGGACCGCCACCATAAATTCCATCGATCTTTGAATACATTATTGTCACCGGTGTATTCCCTCCAGCCGCGTTCCGTGCAAACCTGTGGAAAAGTATACTAGTCTCGTTCCCTTATTCGAGCTCACTTAGGCTAATTGTAAGCAGGAACATCCCTTTTTTTCGGGGTAAATGAATTCGATAGATCGTGTCGAGTTTGAGAGATAAAATATTAATAATACTTGGTTAAACCTGTGGAAAAGTATACGAGTCTCGTTACGTTTTCGAGCTCACTTAGGCTAATTGTAAGCAGGAACATCCCTTTTTTCGGGGTAAATGAATTCGATAGATCGCATCGAGGTTGAGACATAAAATATTAATAATATCTGGTTAAACCTGTGGAAAAGTATACGAGTCTCGTTCCGTTTTCGAGCTCACTTAGGCTAATTGTAAGCAGGAACATCCCTTTTTTTCGGGGTAAATGAGATCGATAGATCGTATCGAGTTTGAGACATAAAATATTAATAATACTTTAAGTGGTTAAGCGGTGAACAGCGGACGTACAAAAATTGTAAATAATTGTCAAAGTATACTTTTGTAAACTAGATTCTTGTTACTGCAACATGGAAATATGCGTAGGGTATAAGTTAGTTTAAAGAATTTTGAAACCTTTATCAATTTTTCGAACTTTGACCCTGTCGTAAGCCTTTAAACGCGCGACTTTCGGGTCAGGCGTAAAGCACCGGGTAGGCGGCGATTAAATCCCGAATATTACGCATTCCAGGGTTCGCAAAGTTTCGAGCATGCACGCGAAAATAGCGGAGAATGCCCTTGATTTATTTGTCGTGTTATTAGAGCATTAAGAATGGCTACCGCTATACATCAAAACCGAGCCAAGGCCTTTAATTAGAATTAAATTCGACCGTATACTCCCTGTCCGTTGTTACCGGTAGCCTACTTTTATTGTTCGACTGTACAATGAAACATTTTCTTACAACTTCGTAATCGATCCGGCCCGAAAGAACGTCGACTCCATTTACACCACCGTTGCCACTGTTACGTACGGATACTTTTCGACGTTACTTCGTAGCCTGTTATCGGTCTCGGGACGCCCATATTTAGACTAACAAGGGAAGTTATCCGGTCGATCAATTAGTTAACAAAACCAAGGGTTGCAGTTATGGTACTCTAAAATGGGTATAAACGATGCGGGCTTTTCAATACCAAAAGGTTCTTCATCCCTAATTTAGATCGTTTCATCCCCCTATTCACAAAAGAGGAAAACGAACTGCAGCCGCGTATCGATTCGTGTTATACTTCTGAATTCTTTCGCGACAAACGATCAGACTGTTCGTTCGGTTGTGCAAATTTAACAATGACGACAGAAAATGCCTGTCCTGCTCTAATTATAAACGATCGACTTTGGCGTCGTTGTAGCCTGGTTTCCTTACCCAGAATCGTTAGCGAAACAATTTTTACGCAACGTTTCGCGTTCCGTCTAGAGCAGCATTTCCCAACCTTTTTCGGTCTAACGCCCCTTTACGAAATCTTTTTCAGGCCAATCACAACGATTCTATCGAGCACTCGAAACGAGTTAAATATTGCTATAAAAGTCACATTGGTATCGTTCAATTTTTAATTTTAATTTATTTTTCAGATCTGAGGGGGCAGAGATCATCTATACCACGAGGGAACGTAGCTTTTTTATACAAAAAAATCAGTATATGGTACCACCGCGAGAAATTTTCCTTAACACTAGTCAAAATGATCCATTCGTAATTTCTAATAAAACTTGTAAAAAATTTATCGTAATTTTCTATAAGGGAATATATAAACACTTATTTCCATTGCATTGTATATCTCTTCGCGTATCTGTCGTTTCAATTTCTTTGGTAGAAATAAACACGCTACAATTGTCGGTAGTTCTAGCGTTAATGGAGACAGAAAGAATTATTAATAACGTCACGATTCGTCGACAGCTACCAACGAGGCCCTCTTTACGAGGGAAGCCGTGTTTCGTGCAAGCCGGGAAGAGACAAAACAATCTTTTCCGTGATCCACGACGTCTCTATTCTTTGCCCTTTTATTATTGCATGTGGCACTTACTTAATAGCCCCCCAACGGTGGTTCTAAAAGTGGTGCACGCAAAAGCGCGTCGCGTCCCGCTCGGCTCGACAGGTATGCACGTGCATACGTACACCGTACGTACCTTGAAAAGTATTCAGTTCAAGGTCACGACTAAGTTTGTAATCGTGTCGAGCAAATACCAAGCGACATAAACGCGTGACAGTGTCCCGATATTTATATGTACACAGGTAGCGATTAAAAATTACGAGAATCCGGCCCAAAGTTAACTTCAAAGTCCCATATTCGAAATGCAATCGTTGCTCGAGTACCTCGATGAATCTCTGTCGCCGAATACCGAGATCTTACATATTTCTTTTAATTTGTTTACGTCGAGAAATACTCGTGCACCGTGTCTGACTATTATCACTGGGCGGAGACTATACCACTGTAATATGTATTTCTATCTACGGGTTTATTCGCACCTGTTGCCGTAAAATCTGTTACATCGATTTGTCGACCGACCGTGGTTAAAAATACTTATCCTACTTATTATTATCCGTAGCCAAGTAAAATTGACACGGGGAAAAAGTTGTGTTCTCAAATTGTGTTCCGTATGCTAATTTTGTTTAGTTATAGCTTGCGTTGTTTTGTAAATAGAAATTGGTTACGAAATGCCACCAAATCGGGGGAACCTTCGGAGGTAAAGGCCAGAAGCAAAGGTATTAAAAAATTCAGACTATAGTGCTCGAGGTCAGTCATAAATCACTCGACTTATTATTATGCACGGACTATTTACAAGTTTGAATATATTAACATCTTCGTTATATATTGATTATATAATTCTCTTTTTTCAATTAGGATTTTTCGAGGAATACTTCTCTACATCGCAGGAACACAATATGGAGAACACTAAAGGGTGTTTTAACGCAAGATGGATCAACGTCTTCGAACGCCAGACTGATTTCTAGAAACGCTATATTTTTTACTTTCGGTTCAGCGATTTATACCTGTACAAGGAGATGGGGTCCTGCACCATTGTCGTTAAGTCTGAAGACGAAGGGCCCGTCCAAGTACTTCACTGCCATACCGGAACATTGTACTCAGACGGGACGCGGGAAGACGATTAGGTCAGTAGATCATGCCTCGACCGACAAACGTTGACGGAGTCTTCGGTTCGAGAAACGGAGGAAATCGTGTGCTTGTCTGAAAACATAAATCAAATTGTTCGAGCATATACAGAGCCACGGTTTCAGAAATTCGGAGTAAATATTCAACACTCGTGTCAATGGTTTTAAATAGAATATCTACGAGTCTAGGACATTCCAAGTCCATGGTTCTTATATACATATTTGATCCAACTCACCTTTCTCGAGTGTGATGTGATCCTCTATCTCGCCATAGCTCGAACTTTTCATTCATAAAAACGTTACGGTCCTTCGAGGCTTGAACAATTCAGGCATCCGTGTTCGTATTAGTGCGTTCCGGTCCGAAGGATACCATCCTGTCTCGTTTCGTTTGTTTGTCACAGAGATATCCCTCAGCGAGCGCGGCTGGTAGCTCCCCGAGCCGACATTCTTCGCGACTAGCAGCCTTTGACATTCAAATATTTCGATGGAACCGCATGCAGGCGAGCCGGAATCCCGATTCCCACTGGTGCACCGCCACGTTTCGGTCTACGCAATCGCTTTGACCTGGTCGCAGGTGCGCAGGTTGCCCGTATGCCGGATCTCCTCGACGCTCTACAGCTTTTATGGGCCTCCGGTGGACACCGCGACACCGCAAGGACACCGGAAGTCTCCCAAGTCGCGAGTCCGCGAAAGAATTTCGCCGATACTCCTTTACAGATCGTTATCGCGTACACGCGAGTTTACCCTAGGTGCGAGAACTACTCGATATCGAATATTCGAACGCTCGAAAACTATTTTAACATCTCAGCCCACGTACAAAATATTCGATAGAAAGTCCTGATTCGCATCATAGTTACCAGGATAACCGAAAGAATAACCGACGGTTCAAGTTCGAGCTTCCAGGGTCGTTGTTCTCTTTCGCTAACCCCTCTCGAAACAGATTACGATTTTGCTAAAACAAAAATTCTCTCCTCCTTGCTCTGACCTTCCGGGGGAGTCTCTGTTCACCGAGTAGTCGAAACGCTTCCGGTGGAGCTCCTTGGAATCTATTTTCGCGATACGTATTAATAGGCGCACGTTCATTGAAGTCCGCGGCGATGACGTATTTGTTGCAAAAAGACTCGCCAGAAAAATGTCTCGCGTGTCTGGGGGCTTCGGAGGTAGGAGGTACCGCAAGGTTACTTTAACGACAAATCGATGAGACGTTCCATCAGCTACTTCCTCGTTAGGGACGAAACGGTTTCCGACTTAGCACTCGACGCGTCTTCGAGCTCCTCTTGCGCTGTGAACACTTTCCCTTCGAGAACTTGACCACGATCTCGAGACACGGGCGATTCGCGTGACGTCGAAACGTTTCTTTGTTTCTATTCGTGTCCCGTGACATTTTGCTGTTTTCGATGCGATAATTATCGTTATTATTAGCTTCGTGTACGAGTTTACAGTGGCGGATCCAGAGGAGGGGTTTTAAATTATTATTCAATAAATGTCAAACCTTCTGGATTCGCTCCTGCGTTAGCCATAGAATACAAGGCGAATTAAAACTCTGAGAAACTTGATTTATAAATAATTTAAGGATATTACTGTGTCAGGAAAGGCAATTGAGAAACACTCGCGATCAACGAAACTTACATGAACATTTTATTTTATTGTAAGCAACACGTAACACGGATACAGGAGGCTCGTGCGGTACTCAGCCAGCAGTCGACCTAAATTAACAATAATCACAAATTGCGCCGTTTCGTGCTCGGTTAACGGAGACCGATGGTGATTTTCAACACGGTTTCTTATTTGCTAAAATTCTGTAACGTCTATATCGATAATGTCCTTCGATTCGCCGGCATGTTCGGCCGCAGCTACTGTCTGACACGAGCCCGCGAAGATGGCACAGAAATCGGTAACCTTGTCTAAAAAAAATTATACGACAACCGCTATCAAGTGCAAGTTCCTCGATCCTCGAAGCCGATTTTTCTCCCTCCGTCGTATCTTCTCGCGTGTCCTGAGAACCTTGGGTGGAAAACGGTCGGACGATTAAACGACAGATGGAAGTTGATCCCTGCTGTCTCGGAAACGAACGGTTCCCTCGGTTGATTTACGACGAGATTCGCATGCACGAGGATTCGAACTCCGCTCCAAGAATCGATCAAGTTAACAAGTGTCCCCGACGAACGTTCGTTGATCGATGATCCGACGTCGATCGACGACCGCGGATCGATTATACGTATGCACGCATCGATGACCAGTCGGATTCGAATTCACCAAAGTCTCTCGTATCTTTTTGAACATCGTTTTACCGGGAATCGAGCACCAAGACGTCTCCTCGTCCGATCTTCGCGAATCCCCCGGGCGAAGGGGGTCGACATTATCGTGACGACGCGCCGGATGCACCTTGGGGAGCACGAAATATGTGATAATGTTGGTAATACTAATTGCTTGGATGACCTTTGCGTGATCCGACCCGGGGAGACGCTCGTTCGTCGTATCGTTGCAGAATTTTACGAGGCATTCGAGGCGCATCGTCACATGGAAACGCCATTTGACAGGGTCCTCTGGCCCCCCCCCCCCGGACGATATTTTATGGTCGCTCGATCCGCCAATTAACCGTGGAATGTCGACACCACGGTAAACATCGACATCGTAACGACCTTTGCGAGGAGTTCTTGAAATTTCAACTCTTCGTTGCGCTCGAGCAACTCACGGCCGTCGATTCGATGCAATTCGAGAAACCGAGCTCGAGACTCGAGCGTGAAAACGTACTTTTGTATTTTAAAAGACGGAACGTTCGAGCCTCGAGCTGATTCCTGGATCAGGGAAAGTCAATCAATTCCTTTACCATTAATGAATCAATCGATGCACAACAGAGCGAAGAAGATTATAAAAATATATCAAATGACGATCGAGAGTTGCTTTTCAAGTGCAGAGAGTCGATTCGATACCTTCGAAGATGATTAGGTAGTTCAGAAATAAATGGCGGTTTCCCGAATAGTACGCGTTTGCCAATATTTATGCCATAAAGATTGGCAAAGGTTTCTCAGTAATAAATTGTACTTTACGTTGCAAACTCGGAATGAATAATTTCGACGAACGTTTTCTGTTAGAATTCTTTCCCCTATTGATCTATCGATTCGACGGAACAGAGGTTTCCGATGGATTAACATTCGGTAATAAATATATAAATTCATTAGTAAATTTTAATTTCTTTTATAATTGCTATATATGGTATATCATCATGTTCGGTTGATCTTCTTAGATGTATGCGCGAAGATTCGATGAAACAATGACATTTGACTACTTAAATTGTTTCTACTTACGACGAATCATTGGTCACGTTATTATAACAGTTGCAAAACAATGTGTCAGTGAAATAATTTGCATCGGTGTATATACATATCGAGAACTTAAAAGTATATATTGCATTTTATTTTACAAATAAGATTAAAATTAATTTATTAAGAAAGTATCTACAATTTTCATCCAAGTTCTGAATCTCTTGATTTCTTATAACATTCTCTCAATGATGCCATATAATATTACATAATGTTTGTATTTTCCAATCAGTTTCCAATACATTCGTTTTCATAAATATGTTTCGTGGTCCTACTGCACTAATATTTTCAGTTAAAGTATCATTTTTTTTTTTTCGTTCAACTAAAACATAACGTAAGTAATTCAACACAGAAGGGGTTAAACACTTGGAAAATTGAATTCCTAATGCTATCGAGAATACCTTTAAGGAATTTATCGACTCCAGGATCTTAGAGTAACGCCAAGTCTCGATCGAGTTACAATTATTTAAAATCCTCCATTCGTTTCTGAACTACCTATTAATTTCTCGAAATTATAATTAAATTTAATTGTGCTCGTCCTGAAACCGCGATCCTCGAGCTACGAAGGACACCGTCGCGGCGTCGACTTGGAGGATGGCATTTGGATAATCGGATAAAGTACGATTAAATCGATAAAGTCTGTTCGTATTCCGTTGGCGTATTCGTTCGTAATAAATACGTTCGTCGATCGTCCTATCGATAAGAATTTAGCGGCTCTCGCGGCTGCTGTGTTAGTTCTGTAACGTCGTCGTCGACCGTAACGATACAAGAAGAACAAGAAATAATCACGGTAAAGTACAATTCGTGCAGAAAGAATTCGTGCTCGTAAAGCTAATATACGCGTCTTATCCGCAATTTTTTGTCCGTTTTTTTTCCTATTTTTCTGTAATTCCCCCCTCCCAATACCCAGTTTTCCCTTTCCTTTCGTGCGTTAGGGCAACAAGCGTCGGGGCGTTAACGCGCATGATTTTTGCAGAACGGACGTCCTCCTTTCGCGTAGAAACTCTGACCCTCGAGGTTCTTCTTGCACATCTGGAAAAGCAAGAACAAGAACGTATAGAATCTCCATGAAATCGACGATTTCGATGAACGAAAGTCACGAAATTTGGCACGTTTAAATGGTCAATGAGATTTAGAAGTTGTTAAGCGATTGTATATTATTCCGGAAACTGCTGCAGTCGAGGGAAATCGATACAAGGAGAGGGCAATTGACAATCCGTTTCTTTGGACTTTGTTCGCCAAGAAATCGATCGGTTTATTTCGAGAAGCGTTTCTCGCACTAATTGCGTACCGTGCAGTTGAAACATTGACTGTGGTAATTATTGTTCAGGGCCTCTACCCAACGATCTCCAGCTTCGACTGGGAATCCGCACGCGAAACACTTGGTCGTGAACAGCTCGTTCCAATCTGCGGAAAAAGAACGATAAAGCAATGTACGCTTATTCTGGTTTTTCTTTTCAGGATAAACAGAATGGATCGAGGGAACCAACCAGCTTCACAGTAGGGCAATCCCTCTTCGAGGAAGAAAGGACTGTTTCCAAAGAGCTTGCCGCAATATGTACATTTGAAGCATTCAGGGTGGAAATGCTTTCCAATTGCGTTCAAACAATCCTGAAACACCGAGCATCGACTCGGTTAATAATTCAAGATTAAGTTTATGGATTACTCACTCCTTTGATCTTGTTGTTGCATTTGTTGCAGCATGGCGCGATGAAACGTTCGAAACAGTACTCGCAATACAGCTGTCCTTTCTCTTCCACGAATCCAATGTCCTGTAGCGGTCGACGACATTGGGTGTTGACGCAAACGAAGTGGTCAGGGCACCAAATTTGCCCCAGGGCGGTGATAAACGGCCCCCTGAACGGATTCGAGCGGAATTCGATTATTCGTCGCGACGATTCAACGCGAACAAGCAGAACGAAGCGACAAGAAACGACAATTAAGCCAGACATTCACAATTAACTATTATCTTTCTAGCACTGATATCGAAAATCGTTTCGCCCATATAGTCTACTATATTACGAACCTTGTGCACTGTTTGTCGTTTTTACAGCAGACTGGTTTTATGAGGAGACCGTTCGACTTGCGATTAGTATTTTCTCCGTTAGCTGTTAACATCGTGCAAAGTAAACACTGTTAATCACGACAGTACAAAAAAAAACAAACCATTATAGTTGCTATTAGCTTGGATAAAATGAGAAAAAAAAACAAATTAATATTGAATTTCGTGCAGGTGCTCCAAAGCGGCCGAATGCGTCCCGATTTTCCGGGAACGGGGATGCCAACGAAACGTAAAAACGCGTAAAAAAGAACAGGCTGGAGGATGAAGCGCGGGGAATCGAAATGGCGGTAACAGCGACGACGGAACGTAAAAAACACTGAAATGAAACAAACAAAGAAAGAAACATCACACCGATGAACGATCAACGGGGGAGTGTACCTGACGTAAGAGTTGCAATGAGCGCAGAGGGGCAATCGCGATCCCGGTCCACCAGCTTGATTGAGGACGCCCCGTCCGCGTTTCGGCGCGCTGCTGCCAGCGAATGTTCCGCTCTTGGAACCGGCACCACCGAGGCCACCGACTCCGGTACCTAGATCCGGGTGGGATGACAAATTTGGTGGGTCTACTAAACTCTGGGTATTTCTAGAGGGGGAACAGTGGATACCGTCCTGGCAGTTATTCTGGGTCTCACATCGATTCCCGGATTGACAGCGGGTGTTGATCGAACATTGACCGCCCGACTGGCAGCGGGTTTTGGAGGAACAGTAACTTTGGGTCTTGCAGCAGTAGCTACTGGACTCGCAGCAGCTCTGCGTCTGACTTTGAGCCTGGGGTTTGTACAATTGAACGGTGGGGGTGTTGCTGTGGCCTGTTTTGGCGGTCAGTCGCGCGAGCTGCCCACTCAGGTTAGTGCGAGGCTTGTGGATGGGCTCGAAGGAGCTTCTGTTCTGAGGGGCGGGCGCAGGAGCAGGGGGAGACGGATCGTTGAAGGGGAAAGGGATTTGAGGGAAGGGAAGTCCCTTTTGGCCCGGTTTGTTGCACGGTGCCACGCAGACGGAACCATCGTCGCACGGCGACACGCAGATCCCGGACATCGGGCAGTTGGGTACGTCTAGGTCGCAGGCGGACTCGCGACCACAGCGTCCCGACGGTTGACCGCAGACGCCCGTCGTCTTGGCGCCGAAACATGGTGAGACGCAGACACCGGACCGATCGGGGGTGGGCATCACGCAAACGCCTGATTTCTGGCAGCAGGTGTTCGGTCCCTCGCAGGGCACCACGACCACGCCAGCTTTGGTGCCCTGGTCGGAGACTGCCTTGCAGGGCATCACCGTCACGCCGGTGTCTGGGCAGGTCTTGGCGGGGGTGGACGTTCCGTAGCTGACGTGACGCACCTCCGTGGAGCTGCTGTAGACCGGTTGTGGGGCTGAGTCAGTCATGGGACAGGAGAGCGTCGGTTTCGAGGGGCTGGTCTTGGTGATCGCGCACACGCTCTTGTGTTCCTGGGTCCTGGGTCTCTCGCGCGGTTCCGGCAGTGGTCTCGTCGGCACCCTTCTCTCGCACCTCTCGAAGTCCTCGACCACCTCGAGCGACTTCTTGCACACGGTCTGCTTCCTCTGTTGCGTCTCCTCGCTGGTCATCAACCGTTTCTCCTGATACTGGGCGTGAACGGCGTCCGTGGGCCCGCGGCCCGGATCGTCGGTCTGCTTCTCGTCGAAGTCCACAGTCTTGGTGGCGGCGTACTCGGCGTGTCGGTGTCCGTCGTCGGTGTCCTCGTCCACCTTGTACGAGACGCTCTTCTTGGTGGGGAAGTGGACGCCGCTGCGTCTGGGTGGTGGATCGTCGCGGATCCTGGGCGCGTGGGCCTTCACGTAACAGCAGGGAGGCTCTGGCGGTCCTTGGGCGGGCGATTTGGATCTTCCTGGTGTGGGTGTTGGGGTCCTGCTACCAGGTTGGTACGTGTGACTCTCGACGGCGCCTCTTCTCATGGCCACCAGGTTCTTCTGGTACGACGGGATGGTGTCGGGCTTCTTTAGGCTGGCCGTGATGCATTTGCTGCTTGGCGTTTGGGGTCTGGATCGCGAGGGCGAGGCGGAGCGGTCTCTGAGTCGATAATCGGGCGGCGGGGTCGGCAGAGGCCGAGGCCCGCACGGTTTAGGCGAGGGTGGCGGCCGTTTCACTTCTCCGAAGAGTATGTCGGCCGGTGGACATATCCTCTCCCCTTGGATCGCCGGGGTACCGGAACGACTGGCGATCTTCTGGTCCTCGGGGCCGATCTCGCGGCTGAGCGGCGTGTAGGGACGCTCAGGGGCGATCATCAGGGCCTGCTGGAACGGCGAGATCGGACGAATGTCCTGCGGGGGCGGTTTCGGTCGACATCTGTGGTCCAAGTATATAGTCTCCTCCGTGTAGACCTCCTTGACGCTGGTCGACGTGGTGGTGCCGCCTGGGGTGAATGGTCGGTCCGGCGCGGTCGTCAGAGCATTCACCATCTCCGACTTCCACTCCTTGGGGGTGGAGTTCTGAATCGCCGAGTGGGGTATCGGTTTCGGTCCGCTGTCCGTCTGCTTGACGAACTGCACGTGTTTCTTGTTGGTCTCCATGATCTCTTGGGCCGGTGGATACTTGGAGCAGACGCGTCGCTCCTTGGGCGCCTGCTGTTCCCTGAGGCTCTGATGGACCTCCACCTGCTCACGCAGGCTCTTTCTACGCTCGTCCTCGATGTCCAGCTTCCTCACGCGTTCCTGGACCAACACTTCCTCCGTGATCTCCTCGTAGGTCTCTTTGATGAGCTTCTTGCTGCCGGGCGTGTCGCCCTCCTCTTCCGTCATCCTTTCCTCGCGGACCACCGTTCTTCCCAGCGGTTGCTCCCGAACCTCCTCGACCACCTCCTCCTCGAAGGTCTCGCGTCTGCTGTTCTCTTCCTCCTCTTCCCGTCGTCTTTGCTCCTCCTCCGCTCGTCTTCTCCTCTGCTCCTCTTCCTCGCGTCTCTTCCTCTCTTCCTCCTCTTGCTTCCTCTTCTCTTCCGCTTCTTGCTCGCGTTTCTGTTCCTCCTCGTCCCGCTTGGCCTGCTCCAGCATCTGCTGAACGTCCACCGCCGACGTAACCACCTCCGCGGACTCCACCACGGTCTTCTCCTCCGTTTCCTGAACCTCTCTGTCGATGTGTTTCGACGACGTCCTGGTGTAACACTCCTCGGTGGTCTCCTCCGTGACCATGGGCGTGCTAGGTCGCGCCGGTGACGGAAGCTTCTCCACGGTCTTCTCGAACGTCATCTTCTTCTTCACGTGCATCCCGTCCACGTCCTCCTCCGTGGTCTCCGTGACGAAATCGTGCTCCCCTCCGATCCCTTTACCATCTTCGTCGTCGATCTCGTCCGCCGGTCTCAAGTCGGTCACCTCTTTGTCGATCTCCGTCACCTCTTCCCTCGTCTCTTCCTGTTTGACCGTGTGCTGAACAGGCAGAGGAGGCTTGTCGCAAATCGTTTGCTCCCGTCGACAGACCGTCGACTGGTACGAGCGATGCTCCTCCCGGAACGGTTGGTTCCTCTCGCATATCCGTTCCCGCTGACAGATCTCCTTCGAGTGGAACTTCTTGCAGACCTTAGGCGGCTCCGTGCCCCCGTAGCTCTGCTCGTAGAGGCTGTTGCCCGTCGAGACGGTGGCCGTCCATGGTTTCGGTACAGGCTGGGCGATCCTGGTGGGCGTCAGCGACCTCTTCACGCTGTCGGTGGAGCTGGGCCTCGAGGTGATCTCGCTCCTCGACTGTCTGCCGCACTCCACCAGCTCGACCTTTCTGTACACGGGACCCGGACAACTGACGCGGTCCATCGGGTCCTCGTCGAACCGATAATACTGCCCGGTGACTCTTTCTACCTCGAGATCGGCGCTCTCGCACCTCTTTCTCGTCAACGCCCTCTCGCAGGCCTCGATGCAGGCCTTCTTCTCTTTGACCGCCTGCTTGTTGCACCTGTCGAGGGCGGGATTCGGGTCGATGTACAAGGGACTAGCGGTCGGGTACGTGACGTCCTCGATCGGTTTTTGCGGTGGCCAATTCAGGCTCTTCGATTTCACGGAACTCGGTCGGGACTCTGTCTTGGTCTCCTCGACCAGCTCGTAATAATAGGACTTTTCGTGGGTTTCCGTCGTGTTTTCTGGGATTGCGGTGTTTCGAGGAGTATCGTGTCAGGATTCGAGGGATCGGAGTTCGCGGGGAGAGGCGCGTGGGCGCGATCGACGCCGGGCGAACACATAACAAATAGTACAAGACACACACGAAACAGTTTGTGAGGCATGCGTTTGACGACGTAGGCGAAAGGTAGGGTCGTGTTAGAAAGAACGAAAAAAAAAAAACAAAGAAATCAGCGGTGAGTAAGAAGCACATTGAACGGCGCGTGGCCGCGATCCAACGATTCTATCGTTTCTAAATCTTTGCTTCGGTCGGATCGCGGACACGTCCAGGACGCTAAATAAAAAAGAAGCGCAACTTAAGAACGAAAGAAAGCTGTTAACGGCAGCTATCGTCTCGCGGAAAGGTGTGCACAGTTTCCGTGATTAATCGAGAACGACGCCCTAAATTCAGAACAAGCCAAAAGCGCGTGGTTGATGTCGGTGATATCAACGGGTCGACCAAGCATGGCGGAGTGAGCAGTCGCGTTTACTCGAGAATCGTTTCGCCATTCTCGAGCACACCGGCTGGACAAAAGTGTCTACGAGTATCGAAGATCAACCGCAGCTCTGGACGATCGTAAAAAAATACAGGTGGGCCACGAATATCCGGGGGCGTTTGCGAGTCGGCGTGTCTCTTGCCTCTGAGACGCGACCCCGACGAGCCTCGATGCGAGAAAAGCCAGGTAACAACAATAGTTAAACAACGGTTTTTTACTTCGGAGGATCCATGACGACGTGTGTGACATGAAGTTTGGAAAAAGGAACAACATGTATCGAGCGAAGAGCTTGCTCGGCTTAACTGTCGCTTTATTTTCGTAATAGCATTTCAATTCTCAACACTGGTTTTTTTTTCTCCAGGAAACAATCGTCGACTCACGGACGCTTTATCGATCTCGAAATTCGCGATTCGTGGATAGATCATGGAGTCGCGAACGGGCAACGAAGCGGCTGAAATTTGTTTTCCTTTTTTTCTATTCTCGAATGAAAATTTGTTCGAATCACGATGTTCGAGATTGCAAAGATCGAATCGTGAACGTCGAGTTATATGATAAATGTTTGTCGTATAGAATCGGACTGTTCGATTCGGCTGTCAGCACAAGGACGACGATGGCGCAGCTGAGAGCTACCGATTCATGCGAATGTGAGGGAGAAAGGTCTGGGTTTCGGGTTGAAAGATGGACCGGCTGAAAAAAGATAAGAAAAGAAAAAATTATGTCCAGGAAAGAGGAGCATGAACACGAATGGCTTTTTAATCGAGGCACGAACGTGATTCCTAGTTTCGAAAAAGAAAAAGAAAAAAAAGAAAAAAATAAATTAAAAATAAACCGAAAAACAAACGCGCAGATATTTATATCGAAGTGTCTTCGTTGTTACGTAAGCTCTTTCTGTCGATGGAAACTCGACTTATTTATTCGCTATTCGGGTCTCGATTCGATCGTCCCAGTTTCGTTTCGATCGGCCCGCATCATCGTCGCTCAATACATCCACGATCTTAATTAACGGTCATAGTGTATCGTTCGTTCCCTGATGAAGATCTCCCAAGTATTTTAAAAAAGATGACGCGTCGTTTAAAGCAGTATTTCGGAGAAGTATTGTTCCAGAAGTGCCCAGAGGTCTGGATGAAACGAGTCGCAGCTCTCAGAACTCGCCGTCGTCGTCCCGCGAACGACGGCCAGATGAAAAGTCGCAGATAAAGTTCGTAAGAGCTTGCAATCACGACCGGAACGCGCGCGAAGTCGTAGTCGTATGATTCGATCGTGGTGGATGCGAGAAAGAGAGAGAAAGTGAGAGATAAATGGGGTGGTTGGATGATGCGAATAGAAGTAAAGAAGAAGAAGAAAAAAAAAAAAAAGAAAAAAAATATGCGAGGACGTAAGCCAAATGGGGCGCGTTATTAGCCAAAGCTCGAAACTCGGTCAGCAGGCTCGATTCTATTCGGCATACCTCCGAAGGGCGTACTTTTTGGCTTTGGCAGGGCTGAGAAGAGACCTATTTGCAACAATCGAAGACCAGAGTGAGGCCAAGGATAAATAGGCGGGTCTCGCCCGTTAGGATTACACGATCGACCAGAGATCGTTCCTCCAGATACGAACGAGAAAGTCGTGCTTGTCGTCGGTAATTTATACGACGACACGATTTCCGGTTTTGTTTCCTGATAACGTTACCCCCAGTCTTGACATACCTCTGGCGTGCCTGTCGTAATTACCGTCGGTATGCCCGCGTCGCGACGCGGAATTTCGTGCACGTAACGGACGGGATAAACACGAGGTGCTTCAGAATCGCACGAGTGTTAACGCACGACGTGCTTGTACTACCAGGAAATTTAATTTCCTTCCGATATATTGTACGTAGGCGAAACTTACCAGCAGAGCCAAAACTTTGGGGATTACGCTCTTTACAGCTGGAGGATCGAATAACGCGCTATATTGCCTCGCTTGTTGCGTCGACGGGCGTTACGGATACTTGAAATCGAATCACTTCCCTTTAAATCATCATTGCATGAGAATTCTTCAAGCGCGTTCTTCCAAAGTTTGGCTATACTTATTAGTTACACCCTGTATGCAAAGGTAACTATTTTTTATACACTCTCAACCATCAAAGATAGACTTAAATATTTCATCCTAGTTGAGACTAGGTGGACTATCGAGAGAAAAGGTCTCTTTCAATAAGAGATAGTTACCTTTGCCGATATTTAATTCGTTCAATTTAAGACGAGCAATCACACGTTACGTTGGTTATTAATTTTCTCCGGTCGCAGAGGGATTCTAGCGACTCTTTTCAACGGACTTCCGGCTGGCACGAAAAAAGTTTACCGTTACGTAAGACGACCGCGATTATGTAACGTGTCGACGTTGGAAGAATAGTTTCGTTCGTAACCCCGACAATCGGAACGATAAATTGTCCGCGTTATCGCGATTAACAATGGAGAAGAGAACTTACCAGTCACAGTTTGACTCTGGGGTCGCGGTAGAGCGTTGTTCCCTGAGTTCACCAGTGGAGGCGACGACAGGTTCGATGACAGATTGCTCGATCCTCCAAAAGGCTTGGGACCAATTAGATTGTTGGACGTTGGCGCCTGTTCGATAGAAATTATTGCGTTATTCGAGCGTCCCTTAAAGCAACCACACAGTCTCCATTTAGGCCAGGCCTCAGAGGTTCGCGAAATGCAATAATTATAGTTATTGCATCCTTTGCTTTGTCTGGGGACTGGCCTGAATGGCTGAACAAACAACGAAAACAATGCACTTGGTGGTGGTTTCGCATTCCGACAAATAAAATAAACGCAAACGCGACTTAGGCGTGAGATTAGTACGCGACGAACAACACGACAAACGCGGTATGCACAGTGCACTAGTGAAACTAGCCGATTAGTTTGAAAATCAACGACACTGATGATTCTTCTCTCCGCTGCCTTGACACCACCGTTCACGGAATATGGCACGTTGCATCGAGAATAACGATAACTTCGATCGATCGAATATAACGAAATTCGTTTTGCTGGTAATTTTCGGAATGAAAGAAAACGTTGATCTTGGGGACAACGACCGACTATTCGTTGGCATAAACGCTGACCTAAGGCTGATTAAGACTCATAATACATACGAGTATATTTATCGAATCGCTTAGCCTCCATCTTTCGTTATTTTAAAGGCATTTACATGCTGTACAGATACTTCGCTACTTAGGAAACTTGTAAATTATAACAAATAACATTTACTATAAATTTCTCTTCGCATCTGTCGTAGGTAAAGTGTGATTTAACACGTTGCGTAATAAGAAAATCGACAGGGTGTTGGAACGAATAAATTTCAAGCGTTCTCTGACCTATAACTCGTCAAATTTACAGTGTTACGAGTATCGAAGAAAATCAATATCATTCTGCAGATATTTAAAAAATTAATTTTGAATACACTTTTTACCTGCGATGAGAAACTTTCTCCCATACCAACGAGTGTACCTTAAATATATCGGTGGTTCTAGACCAACGTTTTCTGTTATTCCTTTTTATTTCGCCACGTTTTCGCGCACCAAATCACGAGAAATCGACGAATTCGAAAGGACTCCGTTGTCACCGTGCACCGAGTAACTGCCAGGGGGTCGAGTAATCGTTTCAGTTCTCTCGACGTACTTCTCTGGAGAGCATTATCTGGCGATCAAAGCAGCGGCACCGCGGATGATCGGTTTCATCGGATCGCTAAGGACGCACCTCACGAAGTGTAGGGTTTCGTGTCGCGAGACGTTTAAGACGAGCCGCGTTGGGACATTACCTGGACTGATCGGAAACTGGGTGGATCGACGGGCGATGTGCCAAGGCGGGTGGGCTGCAATGCATAAAACGACAGAACGATGTCACGTGGCCGATGGTAATTAAAAAAGGTGGGGGGTTAGGAAGGATTCGGGGATAACACGTGGTAGTACGCACACTCGCGATCGCGCCAGGCTAATTAGTCACATGGGTTCGAAATAGTAACCGCGAGCAATCATGATTGGCAGGTGAATAGACGTCGCGGATACGAGGAAGAGGTTTTCGCGGATCGGAAGGACGATCGGGTCGAATATCATAACGATGATTCCGATCATAGTCGACGCAACTGATCATCTCAAGGTTCTACATTGAGCTTTACAGTCACCGTTTCCTGATCGGTCTGATTCAGCAATTATTTCTGGCGATTGTTTACGGGTAAACAAACGCTATATTTAGCCGAATATCGTGTAAAAAAGTAGTCATCGAATACAATTAAGAATTGCAACGATCGATCGTACCCATCGCCAAGATTCCTCGTCGAACTTGGATCGCGTTTCCTATACATTGTGTTCTTTTATCTCGATACGTGGCCCCGATCGGTTTGATTCACCGGTTATTTTAGCCGATTATTCTCTCCTAAATAAATTCTACCTCGAAAAAGTTTGATGCGTAGGATATAATTGGATGGCAGTCCTATTTTGTACGACAGAACTTTCTATGTTTGGACTTCCGGGACGAATTCTCTGACACAGCGAATTAGAATTCATTCGTAACGTGACAATCGATTGATTTCAGAGTTTTAACTGGTATTGCAAACCAGATTATCGCCAAGGATATCAGTCTCTAAAATTGTGGAAATACGACGGTTAATCTGATAGCAATCTGCAGCATTATTGTACATCGTTTAACGAAAAGAGTCGTGAAAGAAATTTAAAAAACGCTAGATTGCAGCATACTATTTAACAAGCTATACTTCTTTGGTTTCTGGGATAATCTTGTTCCGTATACGGAGCTGTGCAAGTAATAAGATACAAGTCGTTAGGTTTCGTAATTATTATTCTGATAATTCCAGTGTATCCTCGAGCTTTTCGCGTGGCTTTTTAGGGCCATTACTTCTCCTGTTCATTACCGATCTTGTTAGCAATTTTTCGATATGCAAATGCTCCGCTATACGCCGATGATTTAAAATTATTTCTTAAAAGTTGGCCCTGAAACGGATGCTCAAATGCTCCAATCCAATTTACATATACTTGAAGCCTGGTCAATTACCTTGAACCGAATATATCCGAGTACCATGTAATGAGATTCTTTCGTACCTATTTAAACGCTGCAGGAAACCGTTTAAATTCGTACTCTGGAAATTAACTTTAAGTAAATCGAACGACGGATTATCAAAATCGCGTGGGTAATTTATTTAATATAATTTTCCTAGTTGTACGTGTCACTGAAATCGGTCCATTATTTTTGAACGAATGAATTCTGGCCAATCGTGGGGGAGAGGGGTTGAAATTGGGGGTGTCACAGACGATTTTACGATCGAACAAAATTCGCGATTATTGCCAACCTCTGTGCAACCCGTCTGTATGGTGATCGAGCTCGTGAAGGTTTTCGATTCCCAGTGGCACTCGCCGTTCGTGATGCATCCGTTCCTATTCAACGTCGACAGCTGAAGATTCGGGGATCCGTAATCGGGACTCGTACGATTGCAAGCCTGGAAAAGCGATTAGTGCCAAGCAAATACCACACACACACGCGTTCAGTCTTAACACTAAACCTACCACGACGTTTTTCAAATTTTCTTTAGACTTTCTAACATAGAATGACATTTCAGCGCTATTTAACTTCACCACATTTCTATTCTTATTGTTTGTTATCTAAGAAAAATATGTAAATTCCACTCCCCGTCTTAGAGAAGCCTATTAACTCGTATTAAAAATACTAAAAACTTTAGACACGTGCAGTTCCGAAACTACTAGTGCTTTATCCAAAATTGAGCCACCGTTAGAGGCGGTAAGGCCTCCCCTTCAAAATGGTTTTTGGTTTTTGTCGATCCGACTTTCCGTTCCGGAGATATCGTAATTTATGTAAAGAGGTATTTTTTAAATTCCACTGTCCACGCTCTCGCCGCCTTAGAAACGTCTATTAACGCGTATTAAAAATATTAAAACTTTGGACGCGCGCAGTTCCGAAACTACTAGTGTTTTATTAATTATTAAGGTATTGTTAGAAGCGGCAAGGCCTCCCCTTTAAAATGGCTTTTGGTTTTTGTCGATCGGACTTTCCGTTTCGGAGATATCGTAATTTATGTAAATGGTAATTTTTCTTAATTCGACTATCGCTGTCTCCGTCTAACGCGTCGCGTGGGACCTCCTTGTCGCACGTTGACCCACTGACCGAGTGATGAATGACGTCACGTTTACTATTTACTACGGTCACGTGAGTTCATTCATCTCGCGACGTAAACAAACGCCTCGGTCCCTTCTAACTCCGAAACTAGCCACCGCATCGACTCGAAACTAAAATCGCTATATCTCCGGAACTAATAAAGCTATCGACTCGTACAAACGCTCATTTTAAAGGGCATTTCATCCTCTATCCAATGACTATACCAGCTACTATAATTTTTGCTATCTTCCATGTTTATTTTCACATTTACTTTGACGCTACATACCCAAAGTAGTTTTAGCAATTCCTATTGATTATACGACTGTTGCGCGATAAAACTGAATTATTTATGAAACAAAATTCTTATTCAAGGGTTTCTTATACCCTATCTGATGCAAATTACGCAAAATTGAAGTGGTAGGTTTAGTGTTAAATGTAGCCAGTTCTATCGGAACTCTGTTAAATGCGACACTCGAAAACGAAAGAAATTCTATCTCGAATACTCGTTAAGGTAATTGCACCAGCGGTCGATCCTCATTGACTCCTCATTAATAATTATTAATATACAGTTCCTGACGAGGAACGAAGAAACGAGCCAAAGGTGCTTTTGCTGGTCCAACTGCTGGTGCTTTTGCCTCGATTGCGAATAAATTGGAAAAGTAAAAGACCTTGTATGATCTCAGAAGCACGGAATACGTTGCGGAACACGTGTTTCAGGCAAGGATGCGCATCTCAGTCTTTAATCGAAGCGATCGCATGACCGACGCGTGCAAAGCAACAACTCTGTGCAGCAATGCCGACACTGTAAGCGATTGCAGCGTGAAGAAATTGCATTCAGGATACTCACAGAGAACGGTAGAGGCGACGATGCGTGATTGCTCAGGGGTGGAGACAACGGTGCATTCGCGAGTGCAGCGGAAATGGTATTAGCCGGTGCCTTTCCGCCTCTGCGAAGTTTAATTGCCATTTTATCTTTACTTTTACGCTTCTATCCTTCCGACCATACGTATTGCTTGCGATGATAAAATAAAAAAGCACAGAAACGTGTAAATGCTTACGGTGGCACGGTGATTGGAACAAGGCCAGCTGGTGCGTTTTGCCTGGCGACCAATTTCGCGTGAATGTCGCAGTATAGTTTGTTGTTGATATTGTAATAGCCGACGTTCTTGAGGGAGGTGCCGCATGTAGAGCATTTGAAGCACTCCACGTGAAGATTCTTGTCCTTGATCCTGGCGAAGACACCCCTGCGAAAGACGACGATCGGTTGAGGGCTCGTTTCTCTCGCGGTGTCCGTTCTTGGTTTAATAAGTGCAGAGTGCTCTTTCATGTCGGATGTGCCACGAGTTTCTTGGCTCGAAGGTGTTCGGAATAAGAAAGAACGGGGGTGGGTTCGATACCTCGACGACGGAGGCCGAAAACACAAGACTCGTCACGTTGTATTGTGGTGTTTGTGGTCGATTTAATAGTGTGAAAAGATATGACGCGTTCTGCAAAATGAGCTTAGAGATCCTATTATAGATTTTATACTCGTGGCTTGAAAAAAATGTCTCCCTTTTAAATGTAAAAAATCGAGAGATTTTTAATTGCGCTTTTATGTATAGTGTAACGACTGTATATCGAAGGTCTTAAGTCTATAGAAATTATTTGTATTCAATAATGGTTTTAATGGTCGTTTATTATATTTAAACTGCACCAACCCTTTTGAACAAATATAAATACTGGATAAATAAATATATATATATACAATTTGACCAAAAGTACTCGGGTAAAAATAGTGTTTAAAGTTCAGGCTGGAAAGGGTTTACGCCGTTTCAGTTTGCAAAAATGTACGCGATCGCGAGAGAAAAAGGAAAACCGCGGAGGGAAAAATGTGCAAAAAGTATCTACAAAAAGTGTCCACAAAAATAGAGGTAGAAAAACACAACATTGACACGAAAAAAATAAAAAAAAACCAAAAATAGTGTGTAGAAAAAAATTAAGAAAAAACATGGAAAAAATCACAACATCGAAAGCGTGTTCTACGTTGCTCGACAAGAACATATCTTGTTCGGTGAGTACGCAGAATGCCGAGGGTGCGTTGGAAAGATATGCGATATAAAGGCTGAAGAATGAAGACACTTCCGATGAACATGAATAGCAGGAAGTTACGATTGCTAGAATGATCGACACGCCTCCCGAAAGAAATAATGAGAATCGGGAAATGGTCCTTTCAGAAGAAGCGATACTGACGACAGAGGCGACAGAGAGGGTCTGTGCTACCATTCAAACATAGCGGCAAAACGTGCACAGAGTTGGGCAAAATTTTATCAGTATAGCAATTTAATTTAACAGTTAAACGTCGTTCCACGATAGAAATTTTTATTTTGATTCAAGTACAGCATTAAAGAGTTCGAAATTTGTATCCAGACAAGTGGTTTGCCCATCTCTGAACGTGCATGTGTACAAAAAAAAAAAGAAACATCAACATCTTCCGTCGTCGATCGATTCGCTTCGATCGTTATCGACTGGTAAAGCTCGACACAGATGATCGATTCATGTTCGATGGACGAGTTGCGAGGTGCACGTTTTCTCGTCCAACTCAAAGCACGTGACGATACCAGCATACGACAATCGAGCAATCCAGGCGGCCATAGTTTCAAATTCACTGGCGACCATATTGCATTTACGCGCAAGCTTTTCGCTTTCCAATATTTCCAACAGTTTTCCAGGACCATTGGGAAGTTCACGAGATTATCTTTCCAATCTTGATCTCACGAATGTGTAAATGGTGGAATTTAGTGATTTTCTTCTTTTATTAACCATTTTGCGTTGACATAGAAGAGCTCGAGGGGTCGAAAGGCTAAAGAAAAATTCTAGAAATAGAATTCGCGATACACCATAACGTTGGAGCGTTCAGGATGTTATAATTTCAAAACTGATTGCAATATTACCGAAAGGAACATGCTTCGAGGCTCTAGAAATAGTTTCACACATGCTAAATGCAAATTGAATAGACCAGAATAAACACTAACGACTAACTACGCGTACTAATAGTCTCATTATTATAATAGAGGAAACCTGTACAGTTTGCGCGTAAAAATATGGCCGCCAATGCGAGAACGAGGATCGCGATTCACGAGCAAACGCGAGGACAACGAACGATCGAGAAACGATCCTGTAAAGTTTAAGAGACAAAAATATACTAAACGAAGTCTTTGAACGGAATAAATTCCGTTTCAGCTTGCTTCACACATCCGGACGATGCTTGTTTTTATTAGAAGCGTGTGTCTTGGGGGAAAAAATGTTCCATAACTGTTTCGAGGGCCGCTACAAAGTTATATTATACGTTTCCACGATCGAATCGTCGCTCGAGACGTTTCCTCGTCGTCGCGAGCTCGTTCCCCCGCCCACGCGCGACACTTTTCCACGCCGTGAGACAGTTTATAGAAGCGTACTCGTCGAAAAGCTACAGATCCCGATCCATCTCGACCGGGGGTGCAAGGGAGAAGAGAGGATTTGTCACGTGAAATAGTTACACGATCGCTCGGTCGCAGTTGCTACAAACGACGGTAGACGGGCCCCAAGAGGGAGACGAGGACTCCTGTCGTTGCGGCAGACGTTTCGACGAGCATTCATTGGAATTGAAGGCCGGACCAACGCCGTGGAGAGCATGAAATAGAGGCGTGGGTGATCTCGGCGAGGTGGCCCTCCCGCCAACGGCGTGGCTCACCGACGAGTAAAACTCTGTTCTCGAAGGAACTGCATGGAAGTAGAAAGACCGCTATGTGACACGGATGGACACGAAAAACTGTCTAATAACCGCCAGAAACTACCCCTCGATCGCTGGGAATATTCTCTGTCATCTATCGCCCTACGCTGCTGCACCACGGACCCCCACATCCGCCGAATCGAATCCACGTTTAAAGAAACGAACAGAGAATGCTTTCAAAATAGCAAAACAGACGCATTGAAAAATTATTCTTCTCTGTCTCGTGGATCGAGCAGCGAAGAGTTTGGTATCGTATCGACTAGTCTACTATGATTTTGTTTCGATTGGCGATTGGAGGTCCGGGTCGCTAGCGTGTCGCTCTTCCTGGCCGAAAGGATAATCGTCAACGGTCCTATTTCCGTTCTCGTTCGACGACCGTGTCCGCTTACGGCTGAAAGAAGGTGTGTAACGGGTCGAGAGTTCGATACTCGACGCGTGAACTTACACGATGAGCCTCTCGCATTCGGCACAAATGTTCTGTCCAGGTGGAAGGCTCGATTGGGGCGTCGACGGTTGCTGCTGCTTGGTCTCCGGCGCCGAGACTGGCCTCAGTCCTGCCAGGGCCGGCGAGGTCGGCGATATCACACCGCTCTGCGCAGTTGGCTCCGCTATTTCGCAAATAAGTTATCGTACCGGCATGCACCAGACTGACTGGAGCCAGCCGATCCACTCGAAAAAATCGCTGGAGGATTCTTCTCATTTTCAAGGGGCTACACCAAGCGTAAGCTAAACCAAACTATAAAGTAAAAGATAAATGCATCGATCGTCCTCCCAGAGGGACCCCATTTTTAGAAGCATCGAGCTCCCAGCGAGACAAAATAATCGTTGCTCTCTGCAAATAATATTCACGGCGCTGTAGACACGTTTCGAGCATATGTTTTCGCTGCCATATAGTCTTTAGAGACCATAATCGCAGTCTTCAGCCTGGTGTAACCCCTTTGCGAAGCGTTTGCTTCACGCTTCGCGCCTCGTGACTGCCGTTACGCCAGTCGTTAGACCGATGCATACGAAAACGTCGTTTCTCCGAAGCTTGAATGTTGCGGAAACTGTTATAATTACTACTCATTACCTTTGGAAATAGACTATTACTCATCGTTTCCATATTTTCCCTCGGGAACGTACCAACATTTCGTTTAATCGTTTGGACGCTTCGAGCTATTTTATTTGCTTTCCTAAGCAGATCCAGATCGGTCGTTAACAAACAATCTTCTCGTTCCTTTTCTCTGTCATTAACCCCTTGCCGTACAATGACGAGTCTGACTCGTTACAAGTTCTCGACGACATGTTTCACAATCTTACTTACTCGACATCAAGTCTTATCTATTAAAATCAACATATTTTTACCTTCCATGAGGTATTCGTAAATCTATTCTTTGTCGTGACCAATTTAAACAAAATTAAATAGTACACGTTTGAAAAATTATTCGGAATTAAATCGTACGTCAAGGGGTTAACCTGTATCTTTTGCAACTTCCGACAAACGATGTTTCTCGCGCATCGACCCGATTAACAGCTCTCCAGGGATTTTTTTCCTTCGCAGGAAACGTTCGACTACCATTAACGAGACAATTTTTTTAGAAACGTCGATGCATTCGGTACGTGGCAAGCCGGCCATCGCGTTACTAACCAGGCTCCGGTGTCTTTGGTTCTTTGTCCGCTTCCTGGACCATCTTGAACACCTCGCTGTTCTCGGCGTTGTAGTTCTTCTCGTTCTTTTTGAAGTTCACCCTGGAAAAAGTACGATGTTTAACACTGTTTCGTATCGTTTTAAAGATTTCTCTCTGCTTTCAGATTTCTTACCCGAGTACACCTCCGGCCAGGACTTCCGCCTGCGCGGAAAGGGTCTCCGCGATGGTCTCCTCGCTGTAGATGCCCACAGGGCTGTTGTACTGTTTGTTCACGATGGACTTGATCGAACCGTCGCTGGTCCCGTTCGGCTGTTAAATAAAATTTTTCTTTAGAATTCGGATCGAGGACGTCGCTCGACTCCCTTTGGCTAATTGACACTAACGAATGGCTTTGGACTGAAGTTGTGGCCGCTTCCGATGTGCGATCCGTCTTGTTTCTTGGCTGCCAAGGATGTCTTCGTAACTGGAGCAATGTTACCGATCGTGGCGGTGGGCGACGGCGACGGGAGGGTCGAATTCAACGGAGACACGTGTGGCTTCCAGGTACCGCCGCCTCTGTCGAAACAAACGGCAAGATAAATCGAAATTTAGAGAACGATCCGTTTTGATCGAGTGCTTCCTTTGGACCAACGATGCAATTAGATTGCAAAAACACTAATAATCCATGCTTGGGAAACAATATAGTCCTTCCGGACGACCCAACGCTCTCACTGGTTACACGGTCCCTTTTAGGAGTAGCAGTTTAAAATTATACTTCAATAATAATACACAATGTAGTAACGATAATACACGATCTCCCATAAGATTACAGACTCTGGTTCGCGCCACGCGATCTTAAAACAGGTTGTGCCTTGTTGAAACAACAGTGTTCGTGCATAATATATTAAAGTCGTTTCCGTGTCTTCGAAACGATTCGTAAACGCCTCGATGATCATATTATTCTAATAATTAAAATTTTGATTTTTCGCCATGGTGCTCGTTCGAGAATCTAATTAGAAAAGTAATCTGCCCTGGCGTTTAAATATAAGGATCGTTTAGGGTGGGTGCCAAAGAGAGAACCGGAGCGTCGGGTGCCAAATATTTTAGGTGCGCCCCTGATTAAAGGTGGGATTCGAAATTAAGTTGGGGGCCTCGATAGGGAAAGCAGAAGAATGTTAGGATCGCGGTGGCTCTCTGCTACCTCTGTATGGTCAGCTCGAAATTGTTTCCAGCCCTGACGATGACATCCTGCGCGTCTTTGTGCCTCAGGTTGTACATGTCGGTGTTGTTCACCCTGATAACTGCATCGCCGGCCTTCAGGCCAGCTGCTTCCGCCGGTGAGCCGCTATTAACCTGCAAATATGCAACATTCGCTTAGGAATCGCGGCAAATTAGTACCAACGTCTACACTACTAGCGGGGATTATCCCAATCGTTTAATAATCAAATATTTTATAGGTATTCCGAGTTTCGCAAACGAACGATTTAATACTCGAACGTCGTTATACGTTTTACGTGATGCGTGTTTATTCGCATCATTTACTCCATAGTGTAAAGCATGAATCGTACTTGGTAGTTTATTTATCGTCAACGAACATTCTTCCTTTTTAGTCTCCACTTATACCGAAGTGGACGATAAAATATTATTAGCTATATTGTATTTTCATGTTAGACACAAATGCAATTTTTTCTATAACTCGCTGATTATCGAGTCTAGCGAAAATTTGTGTATGAAGAAAACGTTTCCAAATGTAATTTTCCGTAACATTTGTTTCGTATGTTTTTGTTGCGAAAGCAACGATAAGGGTGATAATCGATCGCAGCTGTACAGAGCAACACAGCTGTTTTCCTCCTCCCTCTCTCTTGACAGGAGTATTGCGATGTTATGTAGCTTATATTTTATGTTGGGCCACCTAATGGATACGTTCCAAATTTCATCGCGATCCCTGTAGTCGTTTTCTCGTGACGCGTAACAAACGGACGAACACAACCGAGTTTTATTTATATATCAGGTCGTTTCATAAGTTGTTTCATATTTTGTTGCGCGAAACATTAACGCAATTTGATGCATATAATAAAGAAAATTAAACCGAAAAGTACCCGTACAAGTTGGAAGCCATATTCAAGATCACGTAAGTCACGCCTGTTGAAAAATGTATTGAATTCCATCGGTAGGGGATAATAAAAATTCTGCGGAGAATACTCGACGCGTTCGAGAACGTTTCCAGCGGAAGTCGGAGGACTCGAATAATGGACGTTTCACTATAGTTCGGGTCCCGTCATCGATACGCGTCTATTTTTACGAGACACGCGGTTCGAACAGAAGACTCTTCTCCGCTCCAGAGTCCAGGCTTCGAGCCGCTATATTTACTGTCCACGACATATTTACAAATTGATTTTTATCTTCACCCCAATTTTTGTGCGTTAACGTTTCAAAGAGTATAAAAAATCCTTCGAAATAATTGTTTCTGTCTTGAATATTTCGCGGACTGTGAGCATCCCGTTTCACCTCGAACGTCGGACACTGTGCATTCATTCGCGCGAAGTCGAGGAAAAAAAGGGCGTAAAAAATCGGACTAATTCGACGGGAACTCATGGACGCCAGGGAAGAACCAAGGGAAGCATTATCGAAGTCCGAGGAAATGGTTTTTGCTCGGTCGAAAATCCCCTCGTCCATCAGGCTTCTGTTCTTTGGAACGCTGCTCGTACTTGCGCAGTGTTTTCGTTAGCATTCTTCGAATTAACCCTTTGAATCTAACACTGCGCTTATTATAGTCCACAACGTAGATCGTCGAGTCTTGGAAAGTCGTAGAAAATACTTGTGAGATATCGAAAGTGGTATTCTATAGATCGCGATATTTACTGAAAAATTAATGGGTCAAAGAGCAAAACGTTGCAACGATACGCATCGATCGTTTATAAATTTCTGGATCGATCTTCTAGGCCGAGTCAAACCGCTCCAGATGCGACACTTGCCGATCGCGGTTTTATTTATGCGTCGCGACGCTTTATCTCTCTTCGCCTTATTCAACGAGCAACAGACGCCTGGGCAATTAAGGAAACGGATTACCTCGCGTGATCAATGAGTCGCTTTAAATCATCATAATTTATCGCGTCACACCTCGCGCACTCTTACAACCCTGATTTTCCTCGAGGTTAATCACGCTATTAATACATTCGGTAACCGGTATACGCGAATCGACGCGCGGTTTCGTTCGTCTTCGTTGGTCTCCCAGGACTCTTTTCGACCGATGATCGAGAGTAATCGATACATCCAGGACGAGGGGGGGAAAAAGAACACGCGGAACGAACGCTCATTAACTACCACCTACAGCTAGAACCGCCAACCGTTCTTTTTTCCTTTATTTTTTACGCGTTACGGAGTAATCGGAAATAATTAATAGGTTCTTTCTAGAAATACGCACAGGACGATTTATTACAGCCACTTTTATCGAAACCATCGTGCTTGTTCCACTCGATGGACTTTCGTACGATCCAATGATCATTTAAAGATGTTGAATTTATGCTCGAAGAATTTTAACAGATTTATCTAAATATTTACACGCGTTTTTAAAGGAGCGTAACATATTTTCGAAACGGAAGTGCCGCTTGGAGCAGGCTTGGCGAACGCGTTAAAAATGTTCGCGTTTGTCGTCAGCTGACGGCCATTCAGCCCATTCGAAAATGTAGGCTGAAATGGTGGACAGAGAATTTCGACTCGCGAGGCGTTTCTAATTATTAGCGGTCCGGGTTTCCCCCTGGACCCAGGCTCGCGTCACAGAGGCGAAATCAGGCCAGAGGGTGAGTCGTTCGTTCGATTCGCGCGTCTGCCTCCAGAAATAGGAACCGCGAAATTGCGTCATCGTTGTTGCCGTAATAGTTGGATACGTTTGCCCGTCCCGTTATTATCAACAACGTTACAACCCCGGCCCGGGTGAATCGTCTTTCGCGAATTCTTGGCCGATAACGACCGTTGGATCGTCTCTTGAACACCTCCGCGTCTCGATGGGTATCACGACCTCTCACAGAGAGCAAAGTTTCTTGGAACTTGGAAATTCATCCTAGAACTCGAAACCGAAGAATTCTGTGGTTCCTTGTCTCGCCGAACGATCTACGAGAGTTGAATTTCAGGAATCCAATTATCGGTACATCTCGTGCCAGGTATTTTCGAAGAATTATTTTTCAAGGAGAGGGATATTAATTCCGTAGATTTTTATTTCTGTTAAAGACGGTCGAAGAAGGCGGGTTGCACGCTCGAGCGACGTTTCACGCCTAGGCTGAAATTCAAACCTGACCTCGGTCGATCCTCTACCAATGGCCAAGGAACCTCTGACCAGCCCGTCCCCTGGCTGTCCCTAGGCCCGCGAACACGTAGGACGTGGACGTAAGTCAGGGTTAAGCTCGGTGGGCACCGTGAAAGCCTGGCTCTAAAAATAGTCCCGGACCGGTCTAAAAATAGGGCCCCGAACACGTACGCCGGTTATTCGTACGTACACCTCGTAGCAAGCCAAACCGAGAGATAGAATGCAACCAAGGTGCAGCATAGTCTTGCACAGTATGACATATCGGGCCGAGCGTTTTCATTCTAAGAGACGGACGCTCTCTGCCACCGCGTGAACCGCGATGAATGAATCGAGTACGCGCGTACTCGCGCACCGCGTACCCGTGCTTACGACGGCGTACTTGCACGGCCTTATGCCTCGCGTAATAATAGTACCACGATTTTCGACGGTTCAAGCCCTGAACGGGACCCATCCAGTCCCAAATCGACGCGATAAACACGATCGTTCGATAGCCTCCATTACATTTTATAATATTCAGTCATTTTAAGCACACCTGGAGGTACCGTTGATTTTTATTTATTTATTCAATAAACGAGCAGGTACAATGCAGTAGAAGGCGATTTTAATTCGAGTTTGGTAAACAACGTGGGGAACGAAATGCTAAAAATGTTTAAATGCACAGTTCATGAAACATGAAAACTGTGAGAAATGATTGCAAATCTTACAGAAGCTTAAGTTCTGTGCTGAATTTTGTCCCACGGATTTTTTATTAGAACGGTTGACGTTTTTGGTATATGGACTCTTTAAAATTTCTGTACTCAATTTTTGTCTTGTTTCGAAAGCTGTATTTGCAGTAAATTGGACCTTCTTATGATATCATTTTGACGTCGTGTGTTAGAATTTAGGGAAAGCTGTCTCTAGTATAATAAATAAGAAGCGTGGACCAAAGAAACTAAGGGCCCCCCATCGATGAAGAATGATCGAAGCCCGACCAAATGATTTTTAAAAATAAAATCCAACCAGTCTTTCCTTAAATTTTGACCGAGAAAATCGTGGATGGGAGTGGAGGAAGGGGGGCAAAGCGCGTTGATTCGCGGTTTTAAAAGTCGAACGTAGGAATTTCGCGAGGACACGCGTGCCTTTGGTAGCCGGAGGGCTCAAGGTATTATTAATAACGACGGTTCTAAAAATACACCCGAAATATGTGTGACGCGGTGCAAGTAGATGCACTTGAATGCAGTCGAACCGAGAGGGAGAATACGCCAAGGTGTACGAGGTACGCATTCCAATGGGCGGGTTATCAGAGACGGATCCATCCCACCTTCCATGCTGGAATGCATCTCTGGTCTTTTTTCTTTCTCTCACTTTGAGGGCTTAAGGCTCGTTCATACTCGCGCGTCGTACGCTCACGAAAAACGTGGTCCCGAGGAGGGAACGGCCCTCCCGGTCAGTGACACCGGTTTTAATCGGACCGAACGAGAGGGAACGCGTTCGAAAGAAATATGTCAACGATACTTTCGCGTACTTATACGACTCCGTTCCTGGGCCCCGCCATTGATTCCCACATTACCACGGAGGAATCGAGGGATCGCCTTAACCACCGTGATACTACGTTAAAAGATTCACGAATTTGTTTCTGTTATTATTTAAAAATATCAGACCAAGCGCGATTTGAAATTGAAGCCTAGAATGATCTTTGTTTGGTTTTTGTTCGAATACAGGCACCCAGATCTATTTCGTCTTGGACTCTACGAAGACATAACGCACCCACTGTCTTCGGCGTCATCGTTCGTTAAAATTAATTCTAGCTTAGTGACACTCGGGCCTATTCTCGACTTCCCCGGCCTGCTAACGAAGAATTCGTCGGAGCTTCGATTATCCGTGCCACTGGGAATGAAACTATCACGGATAAATGAGCTCGTCGGGCACGAAAATAATACGATCAAAAATTATACTTTTGTAAGTATAATAAGCTTTTGTTACAAATATCATCGTAGTCCAGGTACGAATACACGATTATCGTCGATTTTCTTCAACTATCGAAACGTTTCTATCCATTGTCGGCTCGCGT